TCAACTCCTTTAAGGTAAAGAAATCCTTGGAACATTCTTGGCATTTATGTTCCTTGATACCCGTGTGCCGAAGTCGATGCATTCTCATGTTACCCAATTGCGAGAATTCCTGACCACAGATGTCACACTTGATGCCAATGTGTATTTTCAATTGATGTCCCTTGAGATCACGCGGGGTACGAAACTTTTCATCACAATCCGGACATGAATATTTATAGGATAATTCTTTGGGTTTGTTGGTATGTGAGGCAAGGTGAATGCTCAGTTCTTTGAGTGTGTAAAATTCCTTGGAACATTGTTGACATTTGTGTTCCTTAATGCCGGTATGACGTATTCGATGACGTTTCATATTACTCATTTGACTGAAATCCTTGCCGCATATATCACATTTGAATGGGATTTTATTAGTGTGAGTTTCCATGTGATGTTGCAGCTCATTGGAGGTGAAAAATGCCTTGGGACATTGTTGACATTTGTGTTCCTTAATGCCGGTATGGCGTATTCTATGTCGCTGCATATTATATAGGACGCTGAAAGGTTGGCCACATATATCACATTCGAGACCGGTAATAATTTCTATACGTGGACCTTGTATAAAGGCGGCGGGGGGAGGTTCAAGTGTAATTGGGTTCACTGTCTGAAAATAAAAAATATATATTTTTAGGTTATGACCCTTTTGGCCGACTTAACATTTTAGGGGAATAATATTCTACATCAAATTTCACTATCGGTCTCGGAACAACCGAAGTTTGCATATATAATATTTGTTTGTCGATATCAAATTAGGCATTACAATTTTTGAGGTTAGTTTTATACATATTTCAGGTAGATGCAATTTTGACCTTGAATTCTACATTTTTGACGGATGTGTCAATAAAGAAAATATTCTACAGAAAATTTCACTATGGGTCAACGAACAAAAGAATTTTGTAGATGTAATAGAAATATGTATAAAAATATTATTTAAAAATAATTTCATTTCTTAAATTAATACTTTTCAAAAACATTGCAAATATTTATTATTGAGAATATTATATATTACAAATTATATACAAATAATTAATTAATTTACAATAACATAAAAAACTGGATATGATTTCTTTGCATAGCCTCCCGGAATGCGGATGAAATGTATGCGAATGAAAAGGTTGCTTGTTTCAAAATAAATGAAATTAAATAAAATGTTAATTTTTATATTTTTTGTTATTCAATTCAATATCCTAGACGTGTTACAACAACTTTACTTACACTTGCATCTCCTTGGGTGTTATTTCCATCCATATATTCCTCATCCTCCTCCGCCTCTTGCCCAATACTATAATCTCGATGATCTCCATTTTCGCAATGTTCATCATTTGTTTCATGATTTTTAATTGACGACGACAAAACATACTGTATTTTTTTGTCAGAACGTTCAGGACGTTTTTGTTTAGCTCCTTTTTGTGGCAAACTTTTATTTTTTATTCTTCCACATTTTAGAGATTTTCTTTGTTTTTCCTTTAGGATTTCAAGCAGAGATTTATTTTCATCTAAAACATTGTCTGCTACATCAGATGCATTTTGAAAATTATCAGTATCATCAATTGATGTTTGCTGATTTTGAAATGCATTTAAATCCCTGCTGTCAATATCATTTTGCTCCCTTGAACTGTCTGCTTTAATAGGATCATCTTGAGGATATACTTCATTTTCTGCTTCTTCTTTGATATCGACAATTTCTATTGGAGTCTCTTCAATTACCAGATCATGTAGATGATGATTTTCTTTGGCCAGTGTCGTCAAGTGCTGGGACTCAAAATGTACAATGAATTTGTTCCAGACGATTTTTTGGTCACACATTATACAGGTGACATTAAACACGGCTGGCGGTGAGGAAACACAAAAAATCTCTCCACATTTCACATTGTCATAGCTTGACAAATTTTCCATGGATTCCATCATGTTTTCCCAACCCACAAAATTGCTTTAAATATGAAAATTAAATAATCCTCCAAGGGATTTCCAAGTTTTGTTTTTTATAGAGAGCGAACCAGTTAAAGACAGTAGGTGAGAGGGAGAGAAAATAACTTTGTTTACATTTTTTCAAAGATGCCCCCATATGTTCTGCTGTCATCAAAGGCAAATAGAAAAAGACTATCGCCGTTGGCGGATAACGCCGTCAATTTAATGTAAATCGTAGGTGAAGATTTTACACTGAGAGAAAAAGTGAACAGATATTGAAGATTTATTTAAAAAAATATTTATTTTAATTAATAAATAAAATATAAAAAATTAGCATAAAAACAATAAAAATAAATAATAAAATAACTCATGCATCAAACAAAAATATTTATTTTCATAAAGAAAAACGGGCATAACCTTACTTTAATTTTTCCAAATTTTATTTATTTGAATTGTTGATGGGATAGTTTATTTTTAAAAATATATACTCTATATATTTCTCATATTAATTATTCAATATATAAATATTATCCGCTAATCCAACGAACAATGATGACGATGGAACACATTGTGGTTCCACCCTCTCAATAGTTACCGTTTCCGGGACAGTATTATGTTTAAGCATGTGCAGACGTAAATAATTAGGCTCGACAAAACCTTTATTGCACACACTACACCGATGTTCGGGTGGAAAATGTATACGCTTGTGCAGCCTCAAGGTTTTCTTCAGTTTAAATTTTGAACCACACACTTCACAAGCAAATGGCCTCTCCGTGGAATGTGTAACCATGTGGTTATTCAAATCGTAGCCGGTAAAAAATCGTTTATTACATATGTTACATTTTGCCGGCCGTTCACCCGTGTGTCGCCGCATATGTACCGTTAAATCTCCACCATCACGACATTTACGACCACACACTTCACAAATATGCGGAAATATGCCCGTGTGGCACATCATATGAATTTTCAGATCTTTTGCGGTCGTACACTCCTTGGGACATTCGCTGCATTTGTATGGCTTAATTTCACTGTGACGAAGACGATGACGCAGCATGATGTGATTGGCGCCAAACGTTTTACCGCACACATCGCAAGTTACATCCTCCGGGCCATGTTCGCGGATTTTGTGTTTTTTGAGATCGCGTTGTGTTCGAAACATCTGTTCGCATTTGTCACATTTGTATTTGTAGTTGACAATGCGTGAAAAAACTTTGATTTTATGTTTAGCCAACAAGTGCTTATTGAGATATTGTATGGACTTGAATGTACGTTGGCATATGGAACACTGTTTTTCTTTGTTATCTTTTATCTAAAAAAATAAATAATTTCTATTAATTTGCAAATTTTTCAAAGAGAATTCGTTACCTTTTCATTCGTCTCATTATTTTCCATTATCCAATCTTCATCGTCTTCTTCACCTCCATTACTGGCTTCTTTCAACGACTCTGCATCGAATGGACCTTCATTTAAATTCGAGTTTATTGTTAGTTCCATTGCATCATGATCTATCATTGATTGTTCATTAAATGGGTCTTCTTCATTTAAAATGGAATTTATTGATATTTCCATTTTATGATCGATTTCAATATTTACATTTTCTCTTTCAGAGTTTAGTTTATTATCCGTTTTATTACTTATTTGCGATATTTTTTCCCTTTCAATTTTTTGCTCTTTTGGTATCTTTGCTGCCAACATTTCCAATTGTTGACTGTTCGGGTATACTGTAATAACCGAAGACTTTACCGACGACCAACAATATTTCGATTTGTGTGATTTCAAATCACGTTCAATACGAAACAGTTGACCACATTCATCACATTTATATTTGTAATTGACTTTGCGTGAAAGAATTTTAATTTTATGGGCAGCAAACATGTGGCGATTGTAAAATTTTAATTTTGTATATTGACGATTACAAATTCTGCAGGTTAGATCACTTGGTGGCTGGTTTTTAGTTAAAAAATTGGAAATATATTTTTATAAGAAAACAAAAAAAAAAAAACAACAATAAAGATTTACCTCTTTCAGATTTATATCAACCTTATCGGCAGTTCCGATTTCATCCGCTGTACACCTTTCTTCGGATATTTCCTTTGATTGATCTTGATCTGTTGCGTTTTCCTCCTCATCTGTCGTCTTTGCCATATTCTGTCTATTGTCCCAATCATGTTTTAATTTGTGTACCCTTAGATCTCGAGGGGTCCTAAACTTTGTATTACATTCATCACAATTGTATTTGTAATAAACTTTACGCGAATATAATTTAATATTGTGCGAATAATACATGTGTTTATTGTAATTTTTCAATGTTGTATATTGACGATGACATATATCACATGATAGATCCTTTGAATCTGTTTTAAGCTGAAATTCCAAAAAAAAAACGAAAGTATAATAAATATTTAAATTTGAGATAATTTACAATTTTTTTAGTCAATTAATTATTATTGCATTATTTCTACTTCTATATATTAAATAATAACATTTTTCTCTGGGCAAACAGAAATAACATATATTGTAACGGCGTTGAAACAGGGTTGGTTGTTGGCTACGCTTCTCTCACAGAGAGGGACAAGTATTTAAAAAGTTTACAAAAATAACCTTTTGCATTTTAGCAAAGAATTTAGTATAATTATAAATTAATGCAAAAAGTTTTGTTTGTTTCCTTTTCTACAAAACTAAAATAATTCGTATTGTAACGGCGTCAACAAACGGCTGATTGCTCACTTATCGTCTCTCTCTCTTTCTTTCTGACATTTATCTTACAGATAGAGACGGCATATTAAATTATCATTTCTTAAAAAACGTTAGTAAATTATTTTAAATTTTAGTTTAAATATGCTTTATTAAAAAAATAAATAAATTCTTTTTAAAAGATTCCTTGTACTGCATACAAAAATCATGTAACGGCGTCAACTCAAATGGATGACTGCTGACTTATTGTCTCTCTTTCTCTGTCTCCCTGTCATTTATTTCTCCCACAGCACTTTGGATTTTAGCATAAATAAACTATAACAAAACCACCCAAAACAAATAATTAACAATAAAAAAACCTAAAAATGATAAAAATATCCTCCAGTGATATAAAAAAATGTGGAAATGTTTATTATTATACCTCACCGGATATAGTTTTTAATATTTCCTGTATAATTTGCAATGAGAGTATTTGTTTTGACAACTTTATAGAACATTTTCGGAAACTTCATTTGGAGGATGATCTAAAAAAGTTCAAGGATCTAAATGCTATAAAAAAGGAAGATGATGATGATGCTAAACTAATAGAAGATGAAGAAAAAATTATTATAAACCAAGTAGTAGTAGATGAAGAGGAATTTGTGACAATCAATTCTGTGGATCCATTATCAGATGCCGGAAAAAGTAGTGAATATTGTAATGATGAAGATAATGAGGAGGACGACGATGATAAACCTTTAAATTATATTATTAATAAAAAACAACAAATTAGCAATGCAAATGATGTGGATAATGAAGTAACAAATGACCATAACAACTTCAAGGAAAGCGATGATGATGATTATGAATGGCCTGATGATGGGAATAAGGATATTGTAAGTACATAATAATAACTGAATATTATAATTTAATAACTTTTTACTTTGTCTTCCCCTTCTTAGGAATCAAAAAAGCCCCCACCCCCTGAAGATTTGCCCTACAAATGCCCACTGTGTCCACGTTCTTATGCCATAAAACACTCATTACAAAAGCACAAGTCCAGTGCCCATAATCCCAATAAACCCAAGCGTAAGACATCAACTAAACCCAAACACAAATGCGATGAATGCCAGCAAGTTTTTCGAACAGCGGCCATATTGAAGGGCCATAAATACACACATACGGGCATTTTTTGTGATATATGCCAAAAACCATTTCGCCAGGTGGGCACTATGCTGCAGCATAAAATACGCCACACCGGCATCAAGCAGCACAAATGCCAACAATGCCCCCGAGAGTTCTATACGGACAAGGAGCTGAAATCCCATATGATAAGTCATATCGGAATGCCATTTGTGTGCGAGCTGCATCTCAACATCATTAACAACTTTTACAAAAAATGGGGCATTAAAATAAACCCCACAAAATCTGAAGCTATTTGCATTCGCAATGCAAGTGGCAAATGTCATAGACTGGTGGTGCCGCAAAGTAAAAACCTCTCTCTTCCGCTTGATGGTATCCAAATTCCATTCAAAACATCATTAAAGTATCTAGGTGTAACCTTTAGTTACCTATTTCGATTTAATCAGCATGGTCGGCTTATCACCACCAAAGCAAAAAAGGTTGCTGGAATGTATGCTGGTATCCTCAAGAGTAAATATATGCCATCACAGACAAAACTTCTAATTTATAAGGTAGCGATACGACCTCTGCTCATCTACGCTTTCCCTATTTGGTTCTCCATTTCTCCTGTGGTGGCCAACAACATGGAAATATTCGAGAGAAATGTCTTACGCAAATGTTTGAACAAAAACTTCCAATGCCCTTCGAAACGTTACTCGAACGAATTCATTTACACCAACGCTTCCATCAAACCTCTCTGTCACTATGCGATGCAACAACACCTAAAATTCGCCGAAAGACTGGAGCATCACGAAAATCCATTAATGAACGAAATCTTTGAAGCAAACCACAATACCACATGGACTTCGTCTACATACCTATCGTCAGTAGGAATACTTCACGAAGATCTTAATAATGTCAATCTAACCTCACCTCCTCAATTCTATATCAAGGCTGTGCCTTGTTCGCATCGAGGATAAAATCTTACGTCTCCAGTATTATATGTTTTTAATGTTTTTTGTATATACGCTTATAATACAATTATATGAACGCTATAATTTCGTAATCTCAATTATAAAGATTATTATCTGTTTATACTTGTATATGTACATACTGTAATTGTACTTTCGATTTACATTGTTATAAAAAAAAAAACGATTATTGTTAATTTCATGTTTTTATTGTTACAGGAAATTTATTGTTATCCTGTTTTCTGTTAGGTTGTTTCCCTTAATATTGTTAATATCAGACCAAGCTCTGTACAACACCGTAAATGTCGTGAGCAAACATTGTTTTTTATACTGTCACTATATTACATTAAATGTATTTTAAAAGAACTATTAATTCGTATCGAATTGAAGATGTCAACACTGTTAGAGTTTATTAGTTCAATACGTTTACAGAACTAAAATCAACATATGCTATTGTTTGTTACTAAATATAAAATTGTAATATCTGATAAAAAGAAGTCTCAATAAAGAAAATTGAATTGAATTGAATTGAATTGTGTGCGAGCTGTGTGGCAAACGTTGTAGAGATCGTGGTGTTTTAACGGCCCACATGCGTCGTCACACGGGTGAACGGCCGGCCAAATGTGAGGTGTGCCAGAAGAGTTTCTTCTCAGCCTATGATTTGAGTATACACGCTGTGGGCCATTCCAATGAGCGGCCATTTTCCTGCGAAGTTTGTGCATCGCGGTTTGGTACGAAAAAAGCTTTACGTATTCATCGACGCATACATGCAGCAAAGAGGCAAACAGATGTGGCAGATGTTGCTGGAGCAACAACTGAAAAAACAATGGCCAACAATCTGGAGACAAAATCTTTAGCAAATGTTATTAATAATAGCCAATTTTTATATAGCCATAATGAAGTAATTAATTTAAATGAATTTTGATTTAGTATTTAAAATTTGTTATACAAATAAACATTTCATTGAAATATATTTCGGTTTTTAATTGTTTTATTGTTGAAATATGAATATATTTTTTTATTAGCTATTATCCAATGTCATCAGTATATTCGTAAATATATTTGTATCCTCAGCCACAATACTACTGCTGCTGGCACCATGTACTTGCATATGCTTTTTCAAATTTCCCGTTTGCGTAAATCCCTTATTACAAATACCACAAACATGCTTCCGCGCCTCAGGCGGCAAATGGGTACGCATATGTATACGCAAGGCTTTCCGAAGGCGAAACCTCGATCCACATTGATTGCAGGAAAATGGCCGCTCATCGCTGTGCGTTACCGAATGTAAATTTAAATCGTGAAAGGAAAAGAAACATTTACCACACACCGAACATTTGGCCGGCCGTTCGCCAGTGTGACGACGCATATGGGCCGACAGAACACCACCATCTCGACAAGGTTTACCACACACCTCGCAAATGTGTCGCCGATATGTGGTGTGCACCGACTGGTGGGCATTCAATTCTTTGCGAGTGAAAAACTCTTTGGAACATTGTTCACATTTGTGTTCCTTGATGCCGGTGTGACGTATTCGATGACGTCGCATATTACCCATCTGGGAAAATGTTTGACCACAGATATCGCATTTAATGATGGTATGTTTTTTCATTTGGTGACATTTCAGTTCACGTTCACTACGAAATCTTTGGTTGTCGTCGCCGTCGGGACATTCGGTACATTGATATTTATAGAGACGTTTTAGAGCATTGGCATCGTTGGAGATGATGGTGGGCTTATTTATATTGTTTATGGTCGCAATTTTTTGCGAACTTTGTACATTTTGTTTCTAAAATAAAGAACAATTTTAGAAAATATTGAGATATAAAAATAAAGAAATATTTTTAGGTTATTTTCATATGATTTTAAATTAATGGCAATTTATCCCACAAATATTCATTTTAGAGGGAAGGTGTCAATGGAAGATCAGTTCCTTATGAAATTTCACTATTGGTCACCGAACAACAAAAATCAGTAGATCTAGTAAATACCAATAAAAAAATATGAAATTAATTGAGATTAAAAAGAAAAACATATTTTTAGGTTATTTTTGTATCGTTTTCAATTAATTGCAATTTGTCCCACAAATCTTCATTTTAGAGGAAAGGTGGCAATGGAAGATAAGTTCTTCATTAAATTTCACTATAGGTCACCGAACAACAAAAATCGACAGGCCTATGAAAAACCAATGAAAATGTATAAATCATATTGTGATACAAAAATAAAGAAATATTTTTAGGTTATTTTCTTTAAATTTTCAAATAAGGCCAATTTGTCGCACAATCTTCATTTTAGAGGGATAGTATCAATGGAAGATAAGTTCTTCATTAAATTTCACTATAGGTCACCGAACAACAAAAATCGGTAGGCCTAATAAAAACCAATGAAAATGTATACATCATATTGAGACACAAAAACAGAAAAATATTTTTCAGTTATTTTCGTATGGTTTTCAATTAATGACAATTTGCCCCACAAATCTTCATTTTAGAGGGACGATGTCAATGGAAGGTAAGTTCTTCATTACATTTCACTATAGGTCACCGAACAACAAAAATCGGTAGGCCTAATAAAAACCAATGAAAATGTATAAATCATATTGAGTTACAAAAACCGAAAAATATTTTTAAGTTATTTTCATATGGTTTTCAATTAATGGGAATTTATCCTACAAATCTTCATTTTAGAGGGATGATGTCAATGGATGATGAGTTCTTTAGCAAATTTCACTGTAGGTCTCGGAACAAACGAAATCTTTAAATCATGTAAATACCAATGAAAATTTAAGAATTAAATTTGGGATTAAAAGCGAAAAAAAATAATTTCGCTTTGTTTGTTAAACTATAAACTTACTTATTAAGTTAATGTGATCTAAATTGATTAGTAGCCCGAAAATAGTTGTGATAAAATACAACTTAACTGATTTTTTTTACAAAAGAATTCTTATACTTTATTTTTAATTAAATTAAATTCAAATTTAAATTTATACAGCTTTTTCATTATCTACAACATCCGTTGCTGGGCCATCATACACTGTGGGAACATATAATTCGCCTACTCCCGTTTCACTGCTGTTGCTGTTGTTGTTAGTTTTGTTGTCCTTAATATTGCCATGTCTACGCATGTGTATTCGCAAATGCCCCGACTGGACAAAGGTCTTGTCACAAATGGCACACGAATATTGTGGCGGCAAATGTATTAGCTTATGCACCCGCAACGTTTTCTTCAATTGAAATCTAGAACCACATATCTCACAGGCAAATGGCCGTTCCGTACTGTGCATAACCGCATGTGTATTCAAATCGTGTACCGAGAAAAATCTCTTGCCGCACACATCACATTTGGCCGGCCTTTCACCGGTATGGCGACGCATATGGGCCGATAAATCACCACCATCCCGACACCGACGACCACATATTTCACAAATGTACGGCAATATCCCTGTATGACATATTGTATGGGATTTCAGTTCTTTACTTGTGTAGAACGCCTTGGGGCATTCCGTGCACTTGAAGGCCTTAATGCCACTGTGACGTACCCGATGCCTACGCATATTGCCAGCCTGGGCAAACATTTTGCCGCAGATATCACAGGATATGCCCAAGTGCTCGCGTACCCTATGTCCTTTGAGATCCCGTTGCGTTCGGAACATTTGCTCACAGTCATCGCATTTGTATTTGTAATTGACTTTGCGGGAAAGGACTTTTATTTTGTGCCGCAGCGACATGTGTTTGTTGAGGAATTTCAGAGCTTTAAATGTGCGCCAGCAGATGTTGCAGCGTAATTCTGCTGTGGTATTGTTTTTCTGGAAGAAAACACAAGAATGGATAATATACAAAACTTTTTTTTATAAAATATAGGCAAACCTTATTTATTTGTTATTGTTCTTGGGGGGTTTCTTTTTTAATTTTTTTATTTTAATATTTTTTGTACATTGAATTATAACATTTAACAACTTCGGGCTACTAATCACTTAAAATTAGATCCACTAAATAATATAAATAAAAAAATGAGCTAGTTTCAAATTCTTAATTTATAAGACCCACCCTATTATACATATATTAATGCACCATTTGCAAATATATAATATTAATTTAAAATAAATAAAAAAAACTTACCTCAACCTCCTCCACATCCTTTTCACTCTCAGCAGCATTGTCAGCATCATCTATCCATTCGGGATCATTGTCTTCACCTGACGCCTTATCGCCATCATCATCATTCGCTGACTGTTGTTGATCTATTTCTTCATTTAAATTTGTAACATTTTTTGATGCTGGCTCCACCACCTGACCTCCACCTCCTCTTCCTCTTTTCTGCTCTTTATGTTCACTATTCGGCAACATTGTTATAATGGAGGGGTTGTTTTCTGCCAACTTCAAATGTTTCGCTTTATGCGCCTTCAAATCACGTTCGATTCTAAACCTCTGTTCACATTCATCACATTCGTATTTGTAATTTACTTTACGTGAAAGTATTTTGATTTGATGTGTTGCAAACATATGTTTATTATATAGCTTGATGGCGGTATATTTACGATTACATATACGGCAGGTTAAATCATTTTCCTTTTTTGCCTTGATAGAGAGAAACAAAACAAAAATAATTTTTTAGGTTATCATTTTGTTTGAGGTTATATTTCGAAGAAATCTTCATTTTACAAAAAAACTGTCAATGGAAGATAAGTTCTTCACAGAACAACAAAATTCGGTAGATTCAGTAAAAACCAATGAAAATCAGTAAATCATAATGATATCATAAAAATAAAAGAAATTTTTAGGTTACTTTCATATGGTTTTTAATAAATGTCAATTTGTCCCACAAATCTTCATTTTAGAGGGAAGGTGGCAATGGGAGATAAGTTCTTCACTAAATTTTACTATATGTCACCGAACAACAAAAATCGATAGGCCCAGCAAAAACCAATGAAAACCAGTAAATCATAATGATATCAAAAAACAAAAGATTTTTTTTAGGTTATTTTCAGTTTATCCCACAAATCATTATTTTACAGGGAAGTTATCAATGGAAGATATGCTCTTCATTAAATTTCACTATGGGTCACCGAACTACAGAACGCGGTTGCCCTATTAACAAGCAACGAAAATATGTAAATCATATTGAATAAAAAATAAAGAAATATTTTTAGGTTATGGTTTTCAATTAATGGCAATTTGTCCCACTAATCTTCATTTTATAGGAAATGTGTGAATGAAGGATAAGTTCTTCATTAAAAGTCACTATAGGTCACCGAACAACAAAAATCTCTAGGTATAGTAAAACGTTGTGAAATGTTTATAAACAAAAAATATATTATTTTAAGTTCCGCACAATTACCTTTTTTGCATTTCCAATATTCTCCTCATTTTTAGAATCTTCCAATGATGTTTCCAACGGATTTTCATTATCGGTTTTAATAAATTCTTCACTTTCATTAAGATTGCGATCCTGTTGTACACTTTCTCCAGCATCGTCCTTGTCATCATCTTCATCACTATTATCGTCGTCTTCTTCGGCCTTGCTATGTGATTTAGTAGTGGGGGCATCGCTATTAGTGCCACCGTGTTTTAATTTGTGTGACTGTAGATCTCGCGGCGTCCGAAAGGCTTTCTCACATTCATCACATTTGTATTTGTAATTAACTCGCCTGGAATATAATTTAATATTGTGTGTATAGAACATGTGTTTATTGTAGGTCTTCAACGATGTATATTGGCGATGACAAATTTCACAAGTATTATCTGCGGTGGTGGTGGAGGAAGAGATGGATTTTCTTTTCCGCTGAAAGAAAAATCAAAATGGTTCATTAATATATTTTTAAATGGGATTTTATAGTTTTAGGTTAAATTCAGTTGATGGTCATATGTCCCAGAATTCTTAATTATAGAGGGAATGTGTCAATGGCAGAAATGTTCTTTATTAAATTTCACTATAGGTCACCGAACAACAAACATGGGTAGGTCTAGTAAAAACCAATAAAAATAAGTAAATCGTATTAAGACACGAAAAAAGAAAAATTTTTTTAGGTTATACTAATATGGTTTTAAGTTCACGGCAATTTGGCCGGCAAATCTTCATTTTAGAGGGAAGGTGTCAATGAAAAATATGTTCTCTATTCAATTTTACTACAGGTCACCGAACAACAAAAATCGGTAGGTCTAGTAAAAACCAATAAAAATTAGTAAATCATAATGACATAAAAAACAAAAAATATTTTTAGGTTATTTTAGTATAGTTTTTAATTAATGGCAATTTGTCCCATAAATCCTTATTTTAGTGGGAAGGTGTCAATGGAAGATATGTTCTTTATTAAATTTCACTGTAGGTCACCGAACAACAAAAATCGGTAGGACTAGCAAAAACCAATTAAAATGTATGAATCGTATTGATATCAATAATAAATAATTTTTTTAGGTTATTTTCGTATAGTTTTTAATTAATGGCAATTTCTCCCAAAATTCTTAATACTAGAGGGAAGGCGTCAATGGAAGATATGTTCTTTATTAAATTTCACTATAGGTAACCGAACAACAAAAATCGCTAGGTCTTGGAAATACCTATGAATTTTTATGAATCATATTGAGGTCTCTTGACTGAAAATGACTTAAATGAAATATTAAGAAATCTCTTGTCCTACGAATTCCTATATACATATTACAAAATAAAATCTCTTGTAAAAAAACATTTATTACCAAAATTATGTATTTACATAAATACAAAGATGTTTATTTTTATTGTACATTATTAAATTCATTAATAACTTCATTAATAATTCCGTAGCAATGATGTTGTCCTTTCTAACAACCACAACCTCATCATTTTTGGTAATTATCAAAGCTTAATTTTTTTTGACTTGCAGGAGAAAAAATATCATTTGCTGTTTTTGTCGTTTTTGCCTCAATGCCTGCTGCATCATGCCTTACCATATGTGATTTCAAACCACCCGATTGGGCAAAAGTTTTTCCACAAATTTGACATGCAAATTTACGATCATCGGAATGAATACGTTTGTGTATACGCAAGGCTTTCTTGCGTTGAAACGATGACGAACAAATATCACATTTAAACGGCCGCTCATTGGTGTGCGCCACAGCATGAACATTTAAATCGTGAAATGAGAAAAAACTTTTATGGCAGACCATACATTTGGCTGGCCGTTCACCGGTATGACGACGCATATGGGCCGTTAAGACACCACGATCCCTACAACGTTTGCCACATATCTCACAAATCCATGGCATTAGGCCGGTGTGACAAATCATATGCGATAGTAGTTCTTTTTTGGTGAAAAAATCTTTGGCGCATTCAGGACATTTGTGTGACTTGATGCCATCGTGTCGGATTCGATGACGCCGCATATTGCCAACTTGGGTAAACTGTTTACCACATATATCACAAAATATACCGGTGTGTTGAAATTTGTGTGCACCAAGATCACGCTCAGAACGAAACACCTTATCGCATTCGTTGCATTTGTGTTCGGAGTCGTTGGGCTTTGTTTTGCTTTTCTTGGTAGAAGCTTTCGATTTTCTATATGGATTGTGAACAAGGTTATTGTGTTTCTCTAAACTTCGTTTGCTACGATATGATCGTTGACATATTAGACAAGGATATGGTAGCTCAATATCAGTATCATTGGAATTGTCTTCAGACTGAAATTATATAAGATATGAACAAAAAACAAAATTGAAATTTCTATGGACAACAATAATACTTAGCTAATGTGATGGAATTTTTTCTTCTTCTTTCTGAAGAGCTCAAAAAAATCTAAGGACTTAAATTGTAACAAAGGGTCCTCATCATTATCGATTTATTATTATTTTTTTAATTTCGAATTTTATCCTGTGATTTTTTAAATGTCTAGGCTATTCGAATAACACCTATCGTGTTTTGAATTTTAAATAAATAACTCAAATCTCGTCTCTTATTATTACCAGGAATACAAAATGAAAAAATGTGTGGTTAATTAAATAGAAATGTAAATATGTATATGTCTCTCTATATATACTTACACTTGCAGTTCCATTATCTTTTTGCTCCAACCAATCGTCATCATCATCTGCAGCAGCCTCATCAACATCATCAAAATCTTCATCGCTATAGGTGATATTCATCACCTCATTATTAACACCTGACCATTCATCAATTGCTACTGCCAACCCCTTCTCTAATTTACTCGAAGTCTCCGGCTCTATCTTAAACTCTTGCTTCTTTTGTTGCCTGGCACCACCACCACCGCCTCTTCTTTTCTTTGCTGCCACCTTTTGTTCATTGAGTATTTCCAATAATGATTTATTCTCATCGAAATCCCCTTCATCATCAATGGAATCTGCTGGATTACCCTGCCGCTCAATACTAACTTCTTTTGTTGTTGTTGCTGTTGTCTGTTCTTGTGGTGTTGGTGGTGCATTAATTGGATCTTCCGGAGGATCTGCTTCCAATTTAATATCAACAATTTCTAATGGTTTTATGGTACTACCATAAACCAAATCCTGCAGACTATAACTTTCTTCGGCCAGTGTCAGGTGTTGCGACTCAAAATGCAATACATATTTGTCCAAACTGATTTTCTGTTCGCACAAGATGCAATTAACATTGAAGACAGCTGGCGGTGAGGAGACACAATAGATTTCGCCACATTTAACATTTTCATAGTTTGGTAAGTGGCCAATTGATTTTAGCATGTTGTTTCACGCACAGATTAGATTTTGGGTGCGTTCTTGGGTTAATTTCAATTCACGATTACTTTTTTTCTTATTTATTTCTTCATTGACAATAAGGATCGAGAGCTGTCAATGGGAAGCTTAGTACAAAGGAAGCTTAGCAAAAATTCAACGCCGTACCCGTATGACACCGTACAACTTCAGTTCGTCACGGCGTTGAAGCCTTTGCAGTTGGCGCTTTTAAGAACATTTGAACATTTGAAATCAGCTGCTTTTTACAAAAAAATAAATAAATAAACAATTATTGTTACTATACATTTATAATAATTAAACATTATTATACACAAATACTTAAACATAAATCCCAGCATTACAAAATTATAAAATCCATAAATAAAATTACGTCGGCGTAGATGTCATAGCATAATGCACTCTGTGCCAATATCAGCTGTTTCTGAGAAATGTTGATTTCATCTATACCCCCTACTCAACACTAGATATTTTATATTTTGGTTGTAAGACCGAGGGGTTTAATTAAGTGTCAGATTTTTTTTTATTTTTTAATATCTAGTGGATTCTTGCAGTACGGGAACACACTAAAATCTTTTTCTGACTACCTTATTAAATCTACCTTGGCTTGACCTGTTAAATAGCCCTTCATCGAAACAAACCTCACAATGCAATGCACAGTTTGATGATTACTCAAAAGTCGCCCTACATATCCCTAATTCTAGTTGTCAGTTGTCTATCCCCATTCTCTTTGGGTAAATTGGCTGCCGATTTATTGCCATTAAATACAAGAAATAATCTAAAAAAGTTTATAAATTTATCAAAATATATATTTTGAAAAGCTGCTAAAATGTGGAAAATTGAAAAATATCATTAATATAAAGAAACAAATAAAATACTAAATGTTTTTTTTTAACAAACAATAAGTAGCATTCACATTGGAATGATAACGCCTCCTCCCTTGCAAATTTACCTAAATGAACATTTCTGTTAGCAAGAGAGTGAGAGAGTGGGAAGCCAAAAAGACGAGACGGACAAATAAATAAATATTTTTGTGTGAAGGAAGAAACAGTATATACCATTTCCACTAACCCCATATTACTCTGTATTGATTAATCAATCTGGTGACAGTATGATTCCCATAAACAAGAAACACACCAAACCACCCTCTCCCAATCCAGGAAAAGATGAACCTTCCACCTCTAAATCCCAAAATTCACCTTCTACCTCTAATGGACCACGACAGTTAATTGACCCTGATAATTATACGGAGATGTGGAAAAATGTCAAACCGTTAACTGCAGAAGAAGTTCTGGCCAAGCTAAATGAATTTGGATCATCATCTGTATTGATTAATCAATCTGGTGACAGTATGATTCCCATAAACAAGAAACACACCAAACCACCCTCTCCCAATCCAGGAAAAGATGAACCTTCCACCTCTAAATCCCAAAATTCACCTTCTACCTCTAATGGACCACGACAGTTAATTGACCCTGATAATTATACGGAGATGTGGAAAAATGTCAAACCGTTAACTGCAGAAGAAGTTCTGGCCAAGCTAAATGAATTTGGATCATCATCTGTATTGATTAATCAATCTGGTGACAGTATGATTCCCATAAACAAGAAACACACCAAACCACCCTCTCCCAATCCAGGAAAAGATGAACCTTCCACCTCTAAATCCCAAAATTCACCTTCTACCTCTAATGGACCACGACAGTTAATTGACCCTGATAATTATACGGAGATGTGGAAAAATGTCAAACCGTTAACTGCAGAAGAAGTTCTGGCCAAGCTAAATGAATTTGGATCATCATCTGTATTGATTAATCAATCTGGTGACAGTATGATTCCCATAAACAAGAAACACACCAAACCACCCTCTCCCAATCCAGGAAAAGATGAACCTTCCACCTCTAAATCCCAAAATTCACCTTCTACCTCTAATGGACCACGACAGTTAATTGACCCTGATAATTATACGGAGATGTGGAAAAATGTCAAACCGTTAACTGCAGAAGAAGTTCTGGCCAAGCTAAATGAATTTGGATCATCATCTGTATTGATTAATCAATCTGGTGACAGTATGATTCCCATAAACAAGAAACACACCAAACCACCCTCTCCCAATCCAGGAAAAGATGAACCTTCCACCTCTAAATCCCAAAATTCACCTTCTACCTCTAATGGACCACGACAGTTAATTGACCCTGATAATTATACGGAGATGTGGAAAAATGTCAAACCGTTAACTGCAGAAGAAGTTCTGGCCAAGCTAAATGAATTTGGATCATCATCTGTATTGATTAATCAATCTGGTGACAGTATGATTCCCATAAACAAGAAACACACCAAACCACCCTCTCCCAATCCAGGAAAAGATGAACCTTCCACCTCTAAATCCCAAAATTCACCTTCTACCTCTAATGGACCACGACAGTTAATTGACCCTGATAATTATACGGAGATGTGGAAAAATGTCAAACCGTTAACTGCAGAAGAAGTTCTGGCCAAGCTAAATGAATTTGGATCATCATCTGTATTGATTAATCAATCTGGTGACAGTATGATTCCCATAAACAAGAAACACACCAAACCACCCTCTCCCAATCCAGGAAAAGATGAACCTTCCACCTCTAAATCCCAAAATTCACCTTCTACCTCTAATGGACCACGACAGTTAATTGACCCTGATAATTATACGGAGATGTGGAAAAATGTCAAACCGTTAACTGCAGAAGAAGTTCTGGCCAAGCTAAATGAATTTGGATCATCATCTGTATTGATTAATCAATCTGGTGACAGTATGATTCCCATAAACAAGAAAGACACCAAACCACCCTCTCCCAATCCAGGAAAAGATGAACCTTCCACCTCTAAATCCCAAAATTCACCTTCTACCTCTAATGGACCACGACAGTTAATTGACCCTGATAATTATACGGAGATGTGGAAAAATGTCAAACCGTTAACTGCAGAAGAAGTTCTGGCCAAGCTAAATGAATTTAGATCATCATCTGTATTGATTAATCAATCTGCTGACAGTATGATTCCCATAAACAAGAAACACACCAAACCACCCTCTCCCAATCCAGGAAAAGATGAACCTTCCACCTCTAAATCCCAAAATTCACCTTCTACCTCTAATGGACCACGACAGTTAATTGACCCTGATAATTATACGGAGATGTGGAAAAATGTCAAACCGTTAACTGCAGAAGAAGTTCTGGCCAAGCTAAATGAATTTAAATCATCACCGTAGACATTATTTGTAATTCCCGAGATCACATTATTGTCAATAAAGATTTCTATCATGATAATTATATAGATTTAGAAAAATTCAATATTTTATTGAGTCAAATTAAGAATAATTATAGTTTTAGATATGAACGTGACCATACGGGTCCATACTTAGTCTATGTTGATCGTGTTGATGCCGCTGTTGATGCCGCTGGCGAAAATAATGAAGGATCTTGGAATTCCCGGCATTTTGGAAGTTGCCAAGATTGGTTTCGGCAGGGCAAAAGTAACTTGCAGGAATGGTTTTGAAGCAAATATATTGGCGTCTAACCAAGCTCTAAAGAATGAGGGCTATATCTGCAAAATCTTTGCGCATTTTGTTTCTAAGGCTGGAGTAATTTTTGGGGTGCCTACTGATCTTTCGCAGGACGAGTTAGCCAAGGCAATATCCTCTGAAAAGGAAATATTAAGTATAACTAGAATGAATCGGAAGGAGAAGGGTCAGCTTGTGCCTACCCCGAGGGTAAAGATAGTTTTTAAAGGTCTGGAGCTTCCGAAAACGGTTCGTTTTTTCGAATATACTAAGAGGGATGTCAAGCATTTCATCTCCTTTAGTACGTGCTACAAGTGTTACCGGCATAATCATTTTGCGGAGCACTGCAAGCAAAAAGTTATGTCATGCAGGAAATGTTTCACCGTTCATAATGAAGCAGAAAAATGTGCAGAAGGAATCGTGTGCCCCAACTGCAAGGGTAATCACACACCATTGGATAGAAAATGTCCTGCTCGGGAAGAAGCATACCAAGTTAAGAAGATCATGACAATTGAGAATTTAGCACTGGGAGAGGCACGAATCAAATACAAACAAGCCTTCGGAAACAAGTTTCAAATTTTGGACGAAAATTTGGATGTGGCTTTCCCCCCTTTAAGAAGCAAATATGACATGTCAAGGAACAATGCGGACGAAAAAGAAACCCTTAGTAACGCAATGGAGGCTGCTAGATCATTGCATAGCTTTAGATCCTTTGCGAAGGTAGTCAAGAACAACCAGAATCGATTAAGAGAGGAGGCCAACGCGGTAAAGAACATGAAGGAGTACAGGGAAGCTTTGAGGTCTGGTGCATAAAGTAACCGAATTAGAAAAATTTTTGTCGGAAATGGAGAAAGAGGTCAGTGCGGTGGCGGAGTCGGGAGAGAAATCCCTGACTAACAGTCAAGCGAGAGTCCTGAATGCAATCAAAGAGAAACTTGTCAGGCAGATTATTGATGTGCAGTCATTCATTATAAGTTCCAGTATACAAGACAATGAAGATGCTGTTGGAGTAAGTTACTGATTTTTTATATCCAAATCCACATCCATCATGAAATTATTACAATATAATATTCAGAGTATCAGCAAGCGCGAAAATAAGGACATGTTGGAACTTTTTCTAGAGTATGAAAACATTGACATTGCTGCAATATCTGAAACCTGGGTTAAAGATAATTCCAATGCCAGTTTTGGAAACTATAATTTTGTCAGTAAAGCTAGATCTGACGGGTATGGAGGAGTAGGTATCCTACTGAAAAGAGAAATTAAGTTTGCTTTAATAAACATCAACACAGAATTTGAAATTGTGGGCATTAGCACAACTAATCTTAAAAGTAATATGAATATACTATCGGTTTACATTCCACCTAACCTGCACCGAGACCAATATCGGCAGATAGCTAAGATTGTTTTCGAGTCTGCTTCGAGACTTAGTGGAGTCACTATCATAATGGGCGATTTTAATGCGAAAGCAACATCATGGGGCAATTCGGCAACGGACATTCAAGGTAATATCGTGCTTACCCTGGCAAATGAACAACAAAAATCGGTAGGCCTAATAGTTACAAAAACCGAAAAATATTTTTAGGTTATTTTCATATGGTTTTCAATTAATGGGAATTTATCCCACAAATCTTCATTTTAGAGGGATGATGTCAATGGATGATGAGTTCTTTAGCAAATTTTACTGTAGGTCTCTGAACAAACGAAATCTTTAAATCATGTAAATACCAATGAAAATTTAAGAATTAAAATTGGGATTAAAAGCGAAAAAAAATAATTTCGCTTTGTTTGTTAAACTATAAACTTACTTATTAAGTTAATGTGATCTAAATTGATTAGTAGCCCGAAAATAGTTGTAATAAAATACAACTTAACTGATTTTTTTACAAAAGAATTCTTATACTTTATTTATAATTAAATTAAATTCAAATTTAAATTTCAAATAAAAATTTATACAGCTTTTTCATTAACTACAACATCCGTTGCTGGGCCATCATACACTGTGGGAACATATAATTCGCCTGCTCCCGTTTCACTTCTGTTGTTGTTGTTAGTTTTGTTGTCCTTAATATTGCCATGTCTACGCATGTGTATTCGCAAATGCCCCGACTGGACAAAGGTCTTGTCACAAATGGCACACGAATATTGTGGCGGTAAATGTATTAGCTTATGCACCCGCAACGTTTTCTTCAATTGAAATCTAGAACCACATATCTCACAGGCAAATGGCCGTTCCGTACTGTGCATAACCGCATGTGTATTCAAATCGTGTACCGAGAAAAATCTCTTGCCGCACACATCACATTTGGCCGGCCTTTCGCCGGTATGGCGACGCATATGGGCCGATAAATCACCACCATCCCGACACCGACGACCACATATTTCACAAATGTACGGCAATATCCCTGTATGGCAGATTGTATGGGATTTCAGTTCTTTACTTGTGTAGAACGCCTTAGGGCATTCCGTGCACTGGAAGGCCTTAATGCCACTGTGACGTACCCGATGTCTACGCATATTGCCAGCCTGGGCAAACATTTTGCCGCAGATATCACAGGATATGCCCAAGTGTTCGCGTACCCTATGACCTTTGAGATCACGTTGCGTTCGGAACATTTGCTCACAGTCATCGCATTTGTATTTGTAATTGACTTTGCGGGAAAGGACTTTTATTTTGTGCCGAAGAGACATGTGTTTGTTGAGGAATTTCAGAGCTTTAAATGTGCGCCAGCAGATGTTGCAGCGTAATTCTGCTGTGGTATTGCTTTTCTGGAAGAAAACACAAGAATGGATAATATACAAAACTTTTTTTTATAAAAATAGGCAAACCTTATTTATTTGTTATTGTTGGGGGGGTTTCTTTTTTAATTTTTTTATTTTAATATTTTTTGTATATTGAATTATAACATTTAATAACTTCGGGCTACTAATCACTTAAAATTAGATCCACTAAATAATATAAATAAAAAAATGAGCTAGTTTCAAATTCTTAATTTATAAGACCCACCCTATTATACATATATTAATGCACCATTTGCAAATATATAATTTTAATTCAAAATAAATAAAAAACTTACCTCAACCTCCTCCACATCCTTTTCACTCTCAGCAGCATTGTCAGCATCATCTATCCATTCGGGATCATTGTCTTCACCTGACGCCTTATCGCCATCATCATCATTCGCTGACTGTTGTTGATCTATTTCTTCATTTAAATTTGTAACATTTTTTGATGCTGGCTCCACCACCTGACCTCCACCTCCTCTTCCTCTTTTCTGCTCTTTATGTTCACTATTCGGCAACATTGTTATAATGGAGGGGTTGTTTTCTGCCAACTTCAAATGTTTCACTTTATGCGCCTTCAAATCACGTTCGATTCTAAACCTCTGTTCACATTCATCACATTCGTATTTGTAATTTACTTTACGTGAAAGTATTTTGATTTGATGTGTTGCAAACATATGTTTATTATATAGCTTGATGGCGGTATATTTACGATTACATATACGGCAGGTTAAATCATTTTCCTGTTTTGCCTTGATAGAGAGAAACAAAACAAAAATAATTTTTTAGGTTATCATTTTGTTTGAGGTTATATTTCGAAGAAATCTTCATTTTACAAAAAAACTGTCAATGGAAGATAAGTTCTTCACAGAACAACAAAATTCGGTAGATTCAGTAAAAACCAATGATAATCAGTAAATCATAATGATATCATAAAAATAAAAGAAATTTTTAGGTTATTTTCATATGGTTTTTAATAAATGGCAATTTGTCCCACAAATCTTCATTTTAGAGGAAAGGTGGCAATGAGAGATAAGTTCTTCACTAAATTTTACTATAGGTCACCGAACAACAAAAATCTCTAGGTATAGTAAAACGTTGTGAAATGTTTATAAACAAAAAATATATTATTTTAAGTTCCGCACAATTACCTTTTTTGCATTTTCAATATTCTCCTCATTTTTAGAATCTTCCAATGATGTTTCCAACGGATTTTCATTATCGGTTTTAATAAATTCTTCACTTTCATTAAGATTGCGATCCTGTTGTACACTTTCTCCAGCATCGTCCTTGTCATCATCTTCATCACTATTATCGTCGTCTTCTTCGGCCTTGCTATGTGATTTAGTAGTGGGGCATCGCTATTAGTGCCACCGTGTTTTAATTTGTGTGACTGTAGATCTCGCGGCGTCCGAAAGGCTTTCTCACATTCATCACATTTGTATTTGTAATTAACTCGCCTGGAATATAATTTAATATTGTGTGTATAGAACATGTGTTTATTGTAGGTCTTCAACGATGTATATTGGCGATGACAAATTTCACAAGTATTATCTGCGGTGGTGGTGGAGGAAGAGATGGATTTTCTTTTCCGCTGAAAGAAACATCAAAATGGTTCATTAATATATTTTTAAATGGGATTTTATAGTTTTAGGTTAAATTCAGTTGATGGTCATATGTCCCAGAATTCTTAATTATAGAGGGAAGGTGTCAATGGCAGAAATGTTCTTTATTAAATTTCACTATAGGTCACCGAACAACAAAAATGGGTAGGTCTAGTAAAAACCAATAAAAATAAGTAAATCGTATTAAGACACGAAAAAAGAAAATTTTTTTTTAGGTTATACTAATATGGTTTTAAGTTCACGGCAATTTGGCCCGCAAATCTTCATTTTAGAGGGAAGGTGTCAATGAAAAATATGTTCTCTATTCAATTTTACTACAGGTCACCGAACAACAAAAATCGGTAGGTCTAGTAAAAACCAATAAAAATTAGTAAATCATAATGACATTAAAAACAAAAAATATTTTTAGGTTATTTTAATATAGTTTTTAATTAATGGCAATTTGTCCCATAAATCCTTATTTTAGTGGGAAGGTGTCAATGGAAGATATGTTCTTTATTAAATTTCACTGTAGGTCACCGAACAACAAAAATCGGTAGGACTAGCAAAAACCAATTAAAATGTATGAATCGTATTGATATCAATAATAAATAATTTTTTTAGGTTATTTTCGTATAGTTTTTAATTAATGGCAATTTCTCCCAAAATTCTTAATACTAGAGGGAAGGCGTCAATGGAAGATATGTTCTTTATTAAATTTCACTATAGGTAACCGAACAACAAAAATCGCTAGGTCTTGGAAATACATATGAATTTTTATGAATCATATTGAGGTCTCTTGACTGAAAATGACTTAAATGAAATATTAAGAAATCTCTTGTCCTACGAATTCCTATATACATATTACAAAATAAAATCTCTTGTAAAAAAACATTTATTACCAAAATTATGTATTTACATAAATACAAAGATGTTTATTTTTATTGTACATTATTAAATTCATTAACAAATTTCCGTAGCAATGATGTTGTCCTTTCTAACAACCACAACCTCATCATTTTTGGTAATTATCAAAGCTGATTTTTCTTGACTTGCAGGAGAAAAAATATCATTTGCTGTTTTTGTCGTATTTGCCTCAATGCCTGCTGCATCATGCCTTACCATATGTGATTTCAAACCACCCGATTGGGCAAAAGTTTTTCCACAAATTTGACATGCAAATTTACGATCATCGGAATGAATACGTTTGTGTATACGCAAGGCTTTCTTGCGTTGAAACGATGACGAACAAATATCACATTTAAACGGCCGCTCATTGGTGTGCGCCACAGCATGAACATTTAAATCGTGAAATGAGAAAAAACTTTTATGACAGACCATACATTTGGCTGGCCGTTCACCGGTATGACGACGCATATGGGCCGTTAAGACACCACGATCCCTACAACGTTTGCCACATATCTCACAAATCCATGGCATTAGGCCGGTGTGACAAATCATATGCGATAGTAGTTCTTTTTTGGTGAAAAAATCTTTGGCGCACTCAGGACATTTGTGTGACTTGATGCCATCGTGTCGGATTCGATGACGCCGCATATTGCCAACTTGGGTAAACTGTTTACCGCATATATCACAAAATATACCGGTGTGTTGAAATTTGTGTGCACCAAGATCACGCTCAGAACGAAATACCTTATCGCATTCGTTGCATTTGTGTTCGGAGTCGTTGGGCTTCGTTTTGCTTTTCTTGGTAGAAGCTTTCGACTTTCTATTAGGATTGTGAACAAGGTTATTGTGTTTCTGTAAACTTTGTTTGCTACGATATGATCGTCGACATATTAGACAAGGATATGGTAGCTCAATATAAGTATCATTGGAATTGTCCTCAGACTGAAATTATATAAGATATGAACAAAAAACATAATTGAAATTTCTATGGACAACAATAATACTTAGCTAATGTGATGGAATTTTTTCTTCTTCTTTCTGAAGAGCTCAAAAAATCTAAGGACTCAAATTGTAACAAAGGGTCCTCACAATTCTCGATTTATTATTTTTTTAATTTCGAATTTTATCCTGTGATTTTTTAAATGTCTAGGCTATTCGAATAACACCTATCGTGTTTTGAATTTTAAATAAATAACTCAAATCTCGTCTCTTATTATTACCAGGAATACAAAATGAAAAAATGTGTAGTCAATTAAATAGAAATGTAAATATGTATGTATATGTCTCTCTATATATACTTACACTTGCAGTTCCATTATCTTTTTGCTCCAACCAATCGTCATCATCATCTGCAGCAGCCTCATCAACATCATCAAAATCTTCATCGCTATAGGTGGTATTCATCACCTCATTATTAACACCTGACCATTCATCAATTGCTACTGCCAACCCCTTCTCTAATTTACTCGAAGTCTCCGGCTCTATCTTAAACTCTTGCTTCTTTTGTTGCCTGGCACCACCACCACCGCCTCTTCTTTTCTTTGCTGCTACCTTTTGTTCATTGAGTATTTCCAATAATGATTTATTCTCATCGAAATCCCCTTCATCATCACTGGAATCTGCTGGATTACCCTGCCGCTCAATACTAACATCTTTTGTTGTTGTTGCTGTTGTCTGTTCCTGTGGTGGTGGTGCATTAATTGGATCTTCCGTAGGATCTGCTTCCAATTTAATATCAACAATTTCTAATGGTTTTATGGTACTACCATAAACCAAATCCTGCAGACTATAACTTTCTTCGGCCAGTGTCAGGTGTTGCGACTCAAAATGCAATACATATTTGTCCAAACTGATTTTCTGTTCGCACAAGATGCAATTAACATTGAAGACAGCTGGCGGTGAGGAGACACAATAGATTTCGCCACATTTAACATTTTCATAGTTTGGTAAGTGGCCAATTGATTTTAGCATGTTGTTTCACGCACAGATTAGATTTTGGGTGCGTTCTTGGGTTAATTTCAATTCACGATTACTTTTTTTCTTATTTATTTCTTCATTAACAATAAGGATCGAGAGCTGTCAATGGGAAGCTTAGTACAAAGGAAGCTTAGCAAAAATTCAACGCCGTACCCGTATGACACCGTACAACTTCAGTTCGTCACGGCGTTGAAGCCTTTGCAGTTGGCGCTTTTAAGAACATTTGAACATTTGAAATCAGCTGCTTTTTACAAAAAAATAAATAAATAAACAATTATTGTTACTATACATTTATAATAATTAAACATTATTATACACAAATACTTAAACATAAATCCCAGCATTACAAAATTATAAAATCCATAAATAAAATGATGTCGGCGTAAATGTCATAGCACAATGCACTCTGTGCCAATATCAGCTGTTTCTGAGAAATGTTGATTTCATCTATACCCCCTACTCAACACTAGATAATAGGTTCGTTCGTTTACTTTCCCAGTAATATTTACTCAGTAAGAATTTGCAGAGAGTAAATACGAATTTTTCCTTTTCAAGAGAGAAAACTGCAAAAAGTAAACGAACAACATCCAGTAAAAAGATTGATTGTTTTGATTAAAACAACAAACAAATTGGCTCAAACTAAAAAACAGCATTTTTATTAGAAAAATGGATAACAAGCGGAAAATTGATGTTGTTTGTTCCCCACAACCATTTAAAAGTTTGTGACCTGTTATTCCTGTATCTGCAATTGATATTGGGGTGGACATAACCGATGGTGTTCCAGACATGTTAGGGATGCACACTTTTTTTTTGGATTTGGAACCTAAAAAATCGTTCGCCAATTACTCTTGTATTACCTTATTTTTAAATACTTGCGTTTTCTTCATCCATTTTGGTATTTAATGATACAAAATCAAAATAAAATTCACAAAACAATCAATTTTCTTGAGAACAATTTTTTGTTTGTTTACAAAACATAACAAAACAGCTGATTAAATATCAGCTGATGGTACAAGAAAATTCTTACTGAGTAAATTTTCCTTGTAAGAATTTGCAAATACTCAGTAACACAACTGTCAAATCTGCTCTCTCAATTCACTCTCTTTTACTGGACTTTTGGGTAAACGAACAACATTTTGTAATAATTTGTACAAATTCGTACAAATTATTGAGTAAACGAACGAACCTATTTTATATTATGGTTGTAAGACCGAGGGGTTTAATTAAGTGTCAGATTTTTTTTTTTTTATTTTTTAATATCTAGTGGATTCTTGCAGTACGGGAACACACCAAAATCTTTTTCTGACTACCTTATTAAATCTACCTTGGCTTGACCTGTTAAATAGCCCTTCATCGAAACAAACCTCACAATGCAATGCACAGTTTGATGATTACTCAAAAGTCGCCCTACATATCCCTAATTCTAGTTGTCAGTTGTCTATCCCCATTCTCTTTGGGTAAATTGGCTGCCGATTTATTGCCATTAAATACAAGAAATAATCTAAAAAAGTTTATAAATTTATCAAAATATATATTTTGAAAAGCTGCTAAAATGTGGAAATTTGAAAAATATCATTAATATAAAGAAACAAATAAAATACTAAATGTTTTTTTAACAAACAATAAGAAGCATTCACATTGGAATGATAACCCCTCCTCCTTTGCAAATTTACCTAAATGAACATTTCTGTTAGCAAGAGAGTGAGAGAGAGGGAAGCCAAAAAGACGAGACGGACAAATAAATAAATATTTTTGTGTGGATGAAAACCATTGAAAATCATTAAGGAAAATGTCTGGATTTGCGATAAAAAAAGAAAAACCAGATGAGGACACACATACATGGCCACAAACGCCCATCATACAACAGCCGCCACAGCAAAAAGATAGCAAAGAAGAACTAAGAAATTATCGCCTTAGACAGCAGGATAACACCCAACAGCCGCAACAAGAACAACAACAATTCTCATCGGGCTTAAAATCCCGAAAGGATATAACCACCGGCAATGGTATCTTAAAATCATTTCTAATTAATCGCAGCCAACAAGAGGCGGCCAATAATGCGAGAAATCATTGTGGCGAAATATTTGTAACCAACAATGCCAAAAAATGGACATTTGTGTGTACATATTGTCAGAAATCCACACGAGATATTGGTGAATTTGTTTGCCACATCAAATTTAAACATTTAAGTGGTTCACAATATTTTGAAGATGAAAATGATGATGACGAGGAGGCTGCGGAAGATGAGGCAGCCGATACGGCGGAACATGTTGGCTTGGAAACCAAAGCTGGCGGCCACCATAATGCCATGACAGAAGATTCATCCTATAATCAAGGACAAGATGTAAGTACATATATAGACGACTACGGCTTGCTCTTGTTGTTGTTTTTTTTTTGGGTACTTGAAAAAAAGGTTTGGATGTGTATACCTACAGATTTTTTTTCGTTTCGTTTCTTTTCACCATTTTTATAAAAAAAAGTGGGAAAAATGTAATGAGTCATGGTATACACATAGCTAGGGTTTTTTTGTTTTCTTTAAAATATGAGGCCAATCGATTTTTTACAATTTGCTTGGTTTTTTCAACTTGCGTGTTGGCGGATAGATAGGGGTGGGTTTTTTTAATGGGATTTTTATAAACACAAAAATTTCCAAAAATAAATGATTCAAATTTTAAACTTATTTTTAAAATTTTTCTATGGACATTTTTAAAATTGAAAATATTTTTCTTTAAAATTTCCAAAAAAATGTTATTAAAAAAATTGCAAAAAAAAATTATAATTTTATTTTATATATTTTTTAGAAATTTTTAAAACTATTTTTCTTTAATTTTAAAAATTTCTAAAGAAAACATAAAAAATATTTTTAAAAATTCCCAAAAAATATTTTTTTAAAAAATACCAGTTTTATTTTGTTGTTTTTTTATTTTTATAAAAAAAAATGTCCAAAGAATAACTAAAAAAATTTCCAAAAAATATTTAATAATTTATAATATATTTTTTAAATTTTATATATTGAAAATTTTTATAATTTTCGCAATAATTTTTGAAAATTTTAATAAATTTTTTAAATATTTTTTATTTTCTTTTTTTAATTTTTTTTCTTCCAGTATTTTGATTGTGCAAGCTATTTGGCCGTGAATGTTCACACCGAGGACAGTGATGGCCAACAATCCTCATCTTGCAAATCAACTCGAACCAACAATTCCAAAACTAATCGAAATGGTGGTGGCGGTGGTACTGCTGGTGGAGGTGGTGGTCGCCCTCGTGGTGGTGGTGGTGGCGGCGATGACGTTGTCAATCTCTTGGACGAAGATGATGATGATGATGCCGGTGGCGATGGAGACGACGAACGGACCTATGACATGAACAATACATCATCGCACTTTGATTACGAACATGCCGAAGATGATGATGAACATGCCATACTAATCGATGATCCCGATAATCATGGCGACTATCGTCACACACAACATATGGCCGATGATATGGATAGCAATAAAGATTTCCTGCTACAGGCCATGGGCAATGATTCAATGACAGATGACTTTATGTCCCAGGAACGACCGAAAAAGCGAAACAAGCCTCATGTTAAGGGTTCGTTCACCTGCAAATTTTGCGAGAAAACATTTCAATACTTTTCGCTGTATCGCAATCACATGATCAAACATTCCAACTACACACCCTTCAAGTGTCAATTCTGTGCCAAGGGCTTCAAGTCGAAACAGGCCATCCGGTATCACATGAAAACCCACAGCAAAGAGAAGGAATTCCAATGCCCGATTTGTCCATCGAGTTTCGCCACATCGAGTGTCTTTATCACGCACGTCCTGACGCACGAGAGTGCCAACTGTTATCCATGTATGGTGTGTGCGAAAATCTTACACACAGAGCGAGAGCGGGAAGAGCACGTGGAGACCCACTCGGAAGAGAGGCCATACAGTTGTACGTTTTGTAGTAAACGTTTCCGACAGAAGCATCACCTGTCGAATCATCTGAAATTGCATTGTCGTTATCGCTGTGACTTCTGCAAGGAATCGTTTAATTCGACCCAGACTCAACGGCGTCCCTATGCCTGTCCACGGTGTGAAGATAATCCCGAAATACGCCAACAGGTTGAAAGGCAGCGTTCGTTGCTGCTGAGGCCCAGTATAGATATGCCGCCAATTGAATATGAAGACATTTTAATGGAGAATCCAAATGCAGCAGCAGCGGGAACGAGAGCGGGAGGGGGTGTGGGAGGTGCCACCACAGAATGTGTTGATCTTGATGAGGTGCCTTCTGACAATGAGGCTACTGGCAATGCCCACAACTACCCCAGTGATGAAGATAATTCCGAGGCTGCCAGACATAATTATACTCAGTGCAGATATTGTTATAAGTACTTTGCCCACGTTGAGGCATTAAATTTCCACATACAAAATGTACACCACAATTAAGCATGAAATTAATTAAATTAAAAAAAATTAAATTCTCACAACAAGTTCTTGTAAAGTACAATTTCATTTAAATATTAAAAAAAATCAAACAATCATAAACACACATTTTAAAATATAATTATTTCCCATTATTTTAAATATTTATTTTCAATACTACATTATTCCATAGATTAAAAAAAAAAAAAATTAGTAAATATTTAAGTATAATTAATTATAACTTTAAATTAAAAGAAAAATAACAATAAAAATTAATTAATAATTATTATATTTAAAGGTTAAGCTAAAATTACATATTGTAAATTTTATTTTATTTTTTTTTTTAAGAAAAAAGAAATAATATTAGACTCATATATCTCAATGTGAGATATTTATATATATAATAAATCGAATATATATTTTAAAAAAAAATTGTTTCTTTTTTGGTGTAAAATAATTTATAAAGTCTAAAAATTGTAAAAAAATTGTTTTGTTTAAATTTCCAAAAAAAAAATTCAAAATTTTGAAAAAATATAAACAATTGCCAAAAATATTTACTAAAAAAATCAAAAAAGTTTTAAAATTTCTCCAATTTTTGGCTATATTTTGGATTTTTTTATATATATTTTTATAAACATTAAAAAACATTCAGTAAAAAATATAAAAAATTATTCAAAAAAAATTTTTTTTTAAGATTTTGAAAAAATATTTAAAAATTTTTAAAATAATTTTTTCAATGGCCAATTTTCAAACTAAATCCTTAGATTTTATTTCCATTATTGAAATCGGCCTGCTCCTCCCTCTCATCCCATTTCTTAGTTATAACAATTTCCATATTTTTCTAGATTTTCAAATATTTTTTTATTTTCGTCAATAAAGAAAAAATAATTAAAATTAAAAATATAAATATTTATTTTTGTAAATATACTTTTTTGTACTATATATATAGACAATTTATTTTAAAAAACTTTTTTTTTATAACCAACAACATTTGAAATCTCAGAAAACAGTGCACACAGACAGGGGACAACATTCAAAATTATATTTTCTGGTAAAAAAATTGAAAAAAAAAAATGTTGTTTTCAATGATAATGACGCCTTTGATATTTCTCCAATGAGGCCAGCACCAAATCATCCGGAGATTTGGTATTAAAATCAAATGGTTTGATATCATGTTTAACAGCTGGCCTGCTGCTGCTGTCGGAGGAGGATGTTGTTGTCATTATCAGCGATTTGTAGGGCAGGGGTAAATCCTCCGCCCGATAATGTTTATCAACTAAACAACACAGAAAATATCCCACTGCTGATGGCCGGGATAGGCAATTCGGTTTTAGCGGAATATTCGATATATCAATTTGACAATATTCATTGGCTGGAGCGGCTAGTAGGACTTTCGTTGAGGCCGCATCCAAACGATCACAGTCTATAAAGGGAATTTTAAAATCTAAATCGGCAGCTGATAATTGTTGTTGCTGTTGGCGTTGTTTATGTTTGCTGTGGAAGACCCGGCTGGGTGGTGTACCTTGATGTTGTGGTGAATTGGAGGCTAAGGCAGCGGATAAATCAATGGTGGCGGGGACAGAAGGAATGTTTGTTGGTGTTGTGGTTTGGGAAGCGGCGGCGGCGGTGGCATTCTCTTTAACTTGTAAATTATTAATGGCAGAGGTGAGGCTACTAAGGCCGCTGGTACTGTTACTGGTAGCAGCAGGTGTTGTATTGGACGTTTTCAGCAGTGGAATTTCAAAAAATGTTTCTAATTTCCCATCGAATGCCGTAGACTCCTGTTTTTGTAAATCTGGCAAAACAAAACCATTCGTCTTGGCCCCCTTGTCTTGCAATTGTTTTAGCAAAAAATCATTTAAAGGTGACCCACTTATGTTGTTGCTGGACGTTGATTGCTCTGCCGCTGGTTTGTTTGCTATTTTTAATGTGGGTATTGTAAATTTGGGTGGACTAAAGGCGGCCGCTTCACTGGCGTTTCTTGCTGCAAATTTATTTTTAATGGCATTTAAAAGGAAATCATTATCCGTATCTCGGGCCTTTGTCGTCGTATTGCGTAGTTCCAATTCTAATAAATTTTCCATGACCTTCGGGTTTCGTTGCCTTTTGTTCTCTATTTTCTTTACTTAATTAATTTTTTTATCACAAAAATTAAACAACAATTTTATTGCAAATTTAATAATAAATTGAAACAAATAAAATTTAATTTAATTATTTGTGTTGCTTTGTTTTTATTTCGGGAGGGAAAGTGACCAAATGACGCATTTAACTGAATGAAATGAGCCGACCAAATAGAAAAACGGTCCATTTGCAATAAATCGCTGCAAAAAAGATGAACCAAACCAATTGAAAAACGTTCCATTTGCATTTGGATCGCTGCAGAAAAGAAAACAACAGCTGATAGGCAAAATGAAAACAAAACAAAATGGCAAAAACATTCATGTTTACGAATGAGAGAATGCATGCATAATGTATTGTTTAGAAAGATGGACATAAAAGAATGGCAAACAGGTAATGGATGCTCCCTAAATTATAGGAAGATTTTCGAATAATACAAATTATATATATATATATATATAGAAGTATGTGTTTGTTAGTATAATCAGAATATAATAAATAAAAACAAATCATTAATTGAAAGAAATTAATTAAAATAATGAACGCTTTTGGTTGTACGTTGAACACAACCCCGTTCAGCGGCGTCTGACGAATATAACTATTAAAAAACGCCATATATGTATATATTTTATTTCAACTTACTGCAATCAATCAATTAGAAAAAACAATAATGATATTTTATTTTATATTTTAAATATCCCTAATTCCGAATTGTATGGAATACTCTTTTTATTGGAGAGATATTATAAAAAAATGTGAATACAAGAATTTTGCTATTTAAAAAAATACAAGCCTTTTAAAAATCATCTATAAAATATATGTCCTCTATCTGTCTATTTCTATAATCTTTCACCTATATTTTTAAAGCCTTGATCAATATTTATTTTTGTAAATTAAAACAGAAAAAAAAAATTTGAAATGTCAGTGAAATATTAGGGAAAGCTATTTTTAGGATTTTAGACATTTTTTCCAACCGAATTATCTGTTATATCATATTTTGAGTTCAAATTGGGTAATAAATATCCATAAAAAATTATTAATTATAAAATTGTGATATTTTTAGGGTTTCTGAACACGTTTTGCAACCGAATTGGCTGTAATTTGATATTTTGGGTTCTACGTTTCTAGGTGTTCAGAATATAAAGCAACCCATCTTTTATTTTTTTTTAATTTTACAAAAATTTGCCTTCAAAAGTAAATGTAATTTACTATTCCTTGTGGCTTATGGGTTGCAAAATATCCTGGAAAAACATAGTCGACATAGGTAAACATCTTTGCTATGTTCCTTATATAAAGTTCCGAAGATTATTCGGACTTTTAACGGCTTTTTAATTCAACCGAAGAATTATCTGTTATTTTTTATTAAAAATATACTTTTTTAAACACATCTATATATAAATACACTATTAATTTATATACCATTAATTTATCATCAAATAGTATATCTTCCACTATTCACTATAAAATATTATCCCCCATCAACGACGACAAGTGTTCCATTAGTTTCCTTTCAATGAACACTGCCATTGAACCATCAATGACCGTTAATCGAACTACACATCCCCTGGTCGTCAGTGTTGTATTTATGTTCAGAAGCGACAAAATTATTTTTATTTTTCATTTCTGTTCTGGTGATAAATTCTTTTATTAGATAAATTTTGCTGGCAAAATTATGTTTGAGCAACAAGAATTATAAAACAGATACGTGTGAATTGAATATTTGTTGAAATTGCAAAGGAAAAGTGTTTTTGGAAAAGTTTTTTTTCAAGAATATCCTGTGTGTGTGGAGAATATTCTGTGTGAGTGCGAGTGTGTGTGTGCGATTGGTCGTCGTCTCGGTCAGACAGCAGACAGAATTAAGAGGGGGGTGGTGCCGACAGACAAAGGAGGTAGAAGAGAGGCAGAGATATAAGCAAAAGAAAAAAATAATACGAAACGAAATAAGAATAACAAGCAAAACACATACCCAATAAGAGGAGAGACAATTACAAAAACAAAAGGAAACAAATAAAACGAAACTAGTAAGTTGCCAATTGTGTAGTGGAACTAATTGAAATTTGAGTTGTTCTTATTAGATGAACAAATATTTGGTAATGATGTAAATTATTTTAAAAAAAGTGATTTATTATTAATTTTTTTTTTAAATTATTATTTAGACAAATGCTTTAAACAACATTGGAATTTGTTATAAATCAGGGGGTATATCAGCAACAACAAATTAATAGTGCAATAACGTCGAAAGACCACAATACACACAGCTGCCCAATACTGCTGCTGGCAATTACCAAAAAATAATACAAAACAAAAATTAACCACCTCACCGGTTAACGTGAAATGTTGCCATTCACACCACAAGTCGTTAAACGTTTATTGGCATTAAAAAAGTGTAACGAAGACAGCGTCGAAGGCAAGTGGTCCGAAAAGGCCGTCAAAAATCTCGTCAAGAAAATCAAAAAGAACTCCTCCCTCGAAGAACTTGAACGTGCCATATCCACACAAAATCCCAATACCAGGTGTGTTACTGTCCCACGCAGCAAACCCACTGCCTCGGGTGAAAACCTACGCAAGGGTTTGCCGCATGTTATCTACTGTCGTTTGTGGCGCTGGCCCGATCTGCAGTCGCAAAATGAATTGAAGGCCCTGGATCACTGTGAATATGCCTTTCATTTGCGCAAAGATGATATCTGCATAAATCCATATCATTACAAGAAATTGGAGCTATCCATATTAGTGCCGAAATCATTGCCCACACCACCGGATAGTATTGTTGACTATCCGCTCGATAATCACACCCATCAAATACCAAATAATACGGAATACAATGCAGCCACAATACGTAGTGCGTCGTTAAGTCCACCACAGTACATGGATATTGGAAGAAATCATCCACAGCAGCAGCAGCAACAACAGCATATATATCAACAGGATCCACGATCGCCAAGTAATTTCTTTACCGGTAATATGAGTGGAGCTACGGCTCAACAACAACAGCAACAACAAATGTCCACAAATAATTTGCCACCCGGTGTGGCATGCAACATGGACTCACAGTCGAGTGTGCTGAGTGTGGGCAGTAATAGTATGCCAAATACCGGCACACCACCACCGGGTTATATGAGTGAAGATGGTGATCCGGTAGATCCGAATGATAATATGAATATGACACGATTAACACCGCCGGTTGAATCGGCACCAGTTATGTATCATGAACCGGTAAGTAGATATATTACGATGTGGATTTATTACTATTAACTTTTTTTAATTTATATGCGCACAGATTCTTTGGTATAAAGGTAGCTATGGACTAGCAGAACAAATCTGTAAAACAAATCATGCCCAAAAAATTGAGTCTAGTCACTCAAAATTACTAAAAGGAAATTGTCTTAAAATTTGGATTTTTTTGCTAAAAAAAAAGAAAGGGTTTCTTATGGTCCATTTCTCATAAACTGTTTGAAATATCAATTTCCTTTCTTTAGCATTTTTGTAGCTATGGACTAGTAGAACAAATCTGCAAAATAAATCATGTCGGAAAAATTACATCTAGTCCCTCGAATTTGCCAAAAGAAAATTGACTTGTAAATACAACCATTTTTCTAATGACCCATAACCTGTAAACGATTTGGAATTTCGATTTGCTGTCTTCAGCATTATGGTAGCTATGGACTAGCAGAACAAATCTGCAAAATAAATCATGGCCGAAAAATTGCATCTAGCCCCTCAAAATTGCAAAAAGTAATTTTGTAACAAAATATAGCAGAAAATGTGGAATTTTTAAGGACATTTTTCTTATCCCCCTATATCACGTTATCTATTTGGAAAATCGATTTACTGTCTTCAGGTTATTTATTGCCATGGACTAGTAGAACAAATCTGCAAAAAATATAATCTGCGAAAAATTGACTCTAGACCATCAAAATTGAGTAAACGAAATTTTGAACTTTTTTTCTTTTTCTTTCCAGGCATTTTGGTGTTCCATTTCCTATTATGAATTAAATACCCGTGTGGGTGAAACATTTCATGCATCACAGCCCTCGATTACGGTCGATGGCTTTACCGACCCCTCCAATTCGGAACGTTTCTGCTTGGGTCTACTCTCCAATGTTAATCGCAACGAAGTTGTCGAACAGACACGCCGTCACATTGGCAAAGGTGTACGCCTGTACTATATTGGCGGTGAAGTGTTTGCCGAATGTCTCAGCGATTCATCGATTTTTGTACAATCGCCAAATTGTAATCAACGCTACGGGTGGCATCCGGCAACCGTATGCAAAATACCGCCCGGCTGTAATTTGAAAATATTCAATAATCAGGAATTTGCCGCTTTGCTGTCACAATCGGTGTCGCAGGGTTTTGAGGCCGTGTATCAGCTAACTCGGATGTGTACCATACGTATGTCGTTTGTTAAGGGTTGGGGTGCGGAATATCGCCGGCAGACGGTAACCTCTACACCCTGTTGGATTGAGCTGCATTTGAATGGGCCATTACAGTGGTTGGATCGGGTACTAACACAAATGGGTTCACCACGCATGCCATGTAGTTCCATGTCTTAAATTGTTTTGTTGTCTTTTTTTCAACATGATTTATATATATTGGATTTTAGTATATATGATTGATTGAGTATATAGAATTTAGAACAGAAAAAAAATTTAACTTTTTTCAATATTTTTTTCTGCTAATTTTCCTTTTCTTTACTAAAAAAGAATGCATGTTTTTCTTTTTTTTTAATTTTAATTTAGTTTTGTAAGTTTTTATAACGTGTAACGTGTTAATTTTTTTTAACATAATTTTAAATATGTTGCCGTATTTTTTTAATATTAAATTTTTGTGCTTGCATTTTTTGTTCCTTATTTTATTTTTAATTTCCCTAGAATTGCATATTAAAAAAATACTATATAATAATATATTGTTGAGCAACTTGGTTAGTAGTTTGTGTGTATGTATGTGTAATTGTAGTACATATATATTTAATTGTTTAGCAAAGAAAATTTAAAAAAAAATCAATTGCAAATATTTTATAAAATAAAAAAATGGACAGATTTTTTTCTATACCCTCTGGCTCGGCTAAAAATGTTTTTGTTAATTTCAGTTTACAGTCTGTTTTGCCTGTCAAATTAAAAATTAAAACTAGATTTAAAATCTATTATTGCTTAATTAATATACAGTTTTTTTTCTTGGGTTCAAAACCTAAAATTTACAAAAACAAATAAATTGATAAAAAAATTAAAATTATAAAAAATTAAAATTATAAAAAAAATACAATTTATAATAAAAATTAAATTTATAAAAAAATTAAATTTGTAAAAAAATAATATTTGAAGTGATTATTAAAAAAATAAATATATATAACAAATTATATAAAAAAAATATATATTATACATAAAAATATTGAACGTTGATAAATATTTTTTTTTTTTTTGAAAACAAAACAACAAAAAGTAAACACAAAAATCAGGTGAAAATTCGATTTAAAATTAAAAAAAAGAAAACAACATACAAACGTAACCAATTATTATTACATATATATACATACTAAGAAGCATCTTAAAAAACGGCAAAAAATATTATTCTGCATATTTTAATATTTTACAACAACAAGATACTGTTAATTTTTTTCTCCTTTTTTAATTAAAAAAATCTTAAAAAAAAAACAAAATTGTCATTTTTTTTATTTTTATATTAATCTTCATATTTTACAACAACAAAATACTGTTAGAAATTTGTTTTTTTTTTAATTTGAAAAAAAAATTTTTTTCTTAAAAAATAATTATTTTTTTTTACATTTTTTTTTTGTTATGCTGTCCCATTTTTTTTTAATTAAAACATAAAATGTTGTAAAATTAATTTTTTTCAAAATCTTTGTTATAACAATAATACAAACCTATTAGATTTTATAAAAACAAAAAAATATTTAAAATATTTTCATAAGTTTTTAATATTTTTCTCCTTAACTTTTTAAATATATAACACAAATATGTATGTTATAATTTATTATTATTTTTTTAATTATAAAATGTTTTTTGAAAACATTTTTAAAATATAAATTTTAAACTAAAAATTATGTAAATCACACACATATATTTTAACAAAATTTTCGATTTTTTTGTTATTATGTTCAAAGCCATAACTTCTCAATTTATTGAAATTTAAATTTACACTCCTCAGCATTATTGTAGCTATAGTTGTGGACAATCGATTTGCAACTCAAAATATATTAGAAAAATTACAGCCAATCCCAAAAAAATTTAAAAATCAAATTTAAATTAAAAAGAAAAAACAATTCCATTTGTGGGCATTTGCAGGCCACTTTTCTTAAAGGTTATATCTTCTAAACTATTGGCTATATGAATTACCTGTCGTTGGCTAATTGGTAGCCATGGCCGAGGAGTATTAAAGTGTCAAAGGGACTATGGCGAAAAAATAATATGTGGACCCTTAAAATTACCAAAAGAAATTAGTAAAAAAAAATGTTGACAAATTTTGAAATTTTCATGTTTTTTAGAAGGAAATTTTCATTACGGGTCATATCTCCTAAACCATTTGGAATATCGATTTCCCGTCTTTGGCAAATTTGTAGCTATAGTCTAGGAGAAGAAAACTCCTATAGAACCTATCCTCAAAAAATGGCATGTTGACTCTCAAAATTACCAAAAGAAAATTGTAAAAGAATGTGAACAAAAATATCATTTTCTTTAAGAAGACATTTTTATTATGGGTTATATCTCCTAAACCATTTGGAATATCGATTTCCTGCCTTTGGCAGATTTGTAGCTCTAGTCTAGGGGAACACAAATGGTAAGGGAACTATTGCCGAAAAATAACAACTAGACCCTCAAAATTGTTAAAAGAAAATGCGAAACAAAAATGTTGGCAAATTGAACTTTTTCAACTGTGGACATTTTTATTTCGATCCATATTTCCTCAACCATTTGGGATATCAATTTCCTGTCTTTGACAAATTTGTAGCATTAGATTAGGAGTGCCCAAGTGTCAAAGGGACTATCCCTGAAAAATTATTCCTAGTCCCTTAAAATTGCTAAAACGAAATTGTATGGGAAAAATGTATTCATATTTAATTTCTTGTGTAAAATTAAAGAGGACAGTTTTCTTTTGGGCTATATCTTTTAAACTGTTTGGAATATCAATTTCCGGTCTTTAGCAGATTTGTAGCTATAGACTAGGAGAAGAAATGTCTCAAAAGGAATATCCCTGAAAAAAATCTATTCTAGTCCATGGATATTGTTAAAACGAAAAAATTTTCCTGTTTTTAATGAATTTTTAAGAAAGTTTTTCTTACGGGCCTATCTATCTTCTAAACCATTTTGAAAATTAATTTTCCGGCTTAAGAAAATGTATTGCCCTTGAAGAGGAGTACAAAAATGTTAAAGGAAGTATACCTGAAAAAGTATACCAGCTAAAACTACTTTGTGTTTAAAATGTTGAATTTTTAAAATTTGTTATGAAATTTAAGGAGAAAAAAACCTTTTCAATTTCGTTACAATAATGCTAGGTTTGTACTATTGTCGGAAATCAAACTGCACAGCCACATATCAAGTTTGTTAAACAATTTTTTTTTCTGTTTTTTCAAAAAAAATAATTAGTTTTCTGATATAAGTTTTATTGATTTTTCAAAATCTACTGCCCCCCTGAAAATAAGGTGAAAAAAGAATATTAACAAATTGTTCAAATTGTAACCTCACACAAAAGAATATATAACATACATATATTTCAATAAAATCTACATATATATACATACAAAAATATATATGTAAAGAAGGAAGAAAGAAAGAAAAAAATCAGCAAAAGATCCACATCCAAAAAGTAAAGAAAATATTTTTAAAATAACATCTTTAGCTATAGTTATTATATACATATATGATGAAGAATAAAAAAAAACAATTACATTTAATACAATTATACAATATGCATACCAAAACCATATACATATATATACAATAATATTATATAAAACAAAATACAGGATGGCCATTTATACTACATTGCAATATTAACAACAACAGAAATCCATAAACAAAAAACCCATGAACTGGAAACTAGGCTTCGGGGGCATAACAATCCGAAATAGATTTGTTTCTGTCCCCAGGCCTTTTTTCGGTCATGTACCAAAAGGTATAACAATGATGAATTTATAGAAAGCAAAATAAACACATTTACATACGAAAAATAAAATTAAACATAATTATCTACATAGTCTACTCTTTTTTTACAATACAATTTTATTATTATTATTTTTTTTTTTTAATTAAGCAAGAAAAAAATTAAAACTATTTTTAAGAATAAAATTCAAAAAAAACTGAAGAAGAAGAACAAAGAAATTGCATTACTATTTACAAAACAAACAAAAAATATTAAGCAAATTAATAACAAAAAAATATATACATAACAAATAATATATATTTTATAAAGAAAAAAAAAACACACACACACAAACAAATTTTGAAACTTTAAAAAATAAATCAAAAACAAAAATATCACCTTCAAAAAATTAAATGTGTGAAAAACCAAAGCGTCACACACCAACCTCCCCAAAAACAAAGTATATATTTACGATTTCAAAATGCTGCAAAAAAGAAAAAGAAATAATTAAAATGGTTAGTTCCATTGAAAAATTGTAATTTGCCAACAATAACAAAACAAATGCGATAAGATGTTTGAATTACAAAAAAAAAAATTAAAATAAATAAAGTACATATATATCATGCAAAAGAACTTAATTATATTTAATATAAAAGTCAATAATAAACATATGTATCTACAAGAAAATATTGTTTTACTTAATCATTACAATTCAATATGAGTACGATTTTAAATCGCATAGTCTAAATGTCCCCTACAGCCGCTCTCAACGTTGTGTGTTAATCATTACGGTTGCATTACATTTCAATGCGTCACGCTGAAGAAGAAGAAGAAGGCACAACGTTTTTTCTTGGTCCATTTACTGTTAAAGAAATTATATGGCAAAAAAAATTAAATTGCACAATTTATTTTTTATTTCGTTTTGTATAATTTGTATATTTTATTAAGTCACTTTTTATTATGATTTTCCTTTTAACACTGAATATTCTCTTCTCTTACACAAAGTAACTGCTCACCAGAGTGTGTTAATCATTTGCAGTACATAACGATCCGTAATGAAGAAGAAAACACACACAACTATCTGTTTATTTTCGTTAAATTTTATTAATTAAAACATATATTTTATTAAATAATAATATTATTTTAATATTCTATTATAATTAATAATTATTTTTTACAACATTTATAATTTTATATTATGAATATTATCTATTTTGATTGAATGTAAAGTCGCTCTCTGTTTTCCATGGCACTCTCTGCCAAAGTTGAGTGCGTTAATCATTTGCAGTACATAACGATCCGTAATGAAGAAGAATACACAATTACTACTTGTTATTAATTATTTTCCTTTCATATTATTAGATTATATTTTATTGTATATTTTGCCTAGTTTAATATATTGTTTTTTTTTAATTCAATGCTACTCTCCGTCTCCTTTTTTTTCTATGATCGCCTTTGACAGCTCAGTAGCGTGTTAATCATTACATTACAAGGCGTAGTGTAGAAGAAGAAGCAGGAGACAAAATAATTATTATTTTATTCAATTTTATTTATTAATTCCATTCAATTATATATTGTTTTTATTAGTTTTGCATTTCTATTTCATATTGAGGCGAAAATACAAAAAGAAATCCCTAATGAATGTCTTTAATGCCACATTCACTGATGACTGAGGACATTTTCAATAAATTCATCCCATTTCTTTTGTAACAGCTGATATGCCCTTTGCCGCTCTGCCTCATCAAATGAGGAATATTTCACCGAATTCCATACCAATTGTTTTAGAGTCTTTAGTCCAGCATAATTGGGCGCCATACTCATAATGGCATAATAAAAATCATAACTCAATCCCTTGGCATTCCAAAATCCCGGATCATCATTACAAATAACAATTGGTATATTTTCGGCCATAAAGAAGGTGCCCGGATGATTTCGTAAATCCCATACTAAATGTAATATTTGATTTGATAGAGGATTTACTTCCAACGCTATATCACGTGCTTTTACCGTATTCCATAACAATGGATGTTTCATTAGGGCATAACCATGACCAATACGTGTGGTGTTCAATAACAGAGCATCAAGTATATTGTAATCGATGGGGCCACCAAACCAATCTGTAAAATTTGGTGAATAGTTAATCAATTATTTTATTATTAGAAATATGGCAACTTACTTGTCTCCCCAGCATGGAAAAAGAATTTAGCTGTTTCGGGTTTTTGTTTCAAAATATTAACATATTCGTGTAAGGGCTTGCCAGTATCTTCCTGGCCCACCAAATCGAAACCGATTAATTCCTTGGGATATTTGGAGCTATAAGGAAAAAATAAGGTATGCAAAAGGAAGGTGGTCAATTCAAGCTAACTTAAGTGGGGTACCAAAAATCGTCTTAATATTTTCATGTTAATTTGCAAAACAATTTTATGGTGGCAATTTATGAACTTCGACTTGGAAAAATATTCTCTTTTCGGCTGACAACTGATTCTGAAACTTAAGTGGGGTACCAATGATCGTCCTTATAATTTTAAATTTATTTTAAAGTCTCAATTTTTGAAATATGATAGAAAAAACATATTTTAACTGACTGACAACTCATTCTGAAACTTAAGTGGGGTACCAAATGTCATGTAAATTTTAAAGCTATTTTAAAGTATGAATTTGAAACTTAAGTGGGATACCAAGAATCGTCTTTATATCCTCCGATTAATTTTAAAGCCTAAACATATTTAAACTGTATCAACGATTGTCTTTATATCCTCCGGTTAATTTTATAGCTATTTTAAAGTCTCCATTTTTTAAATATGACTTGAAAACATATTTTAGCTGACTGACAACTCATTCTGAAACTTAAGTGGGGTACCAAACATCGTATTTTTAATTTCAGGTAAATTTAAAGTCTCGATTTTTGAAATATGATTTGAAAACATATTTTAGCTAAGTGATAACTTATTTTTAAAAACTTAAGTGGGGTACCAAAGATCGTCTATAATATTTTCTGCTTGATTTAAATGTTTTTGCACTAACTTTTGAAGAATTTTGTTTCTTTTTTAATTTAACAACTTATTTAAAAAAATCTTAAGTGAGGTACCTTAGATCATCTTTATACTTACTGATTAATTTTAAATGTATTAAAACGTTGTTGCATTGCCTCTGGCGCAGCATTACGATTAGGCGAAATAATCACTTTAATACCCAAAAAGTCCGGATGGACTTGTTGAAATTCAGCAACAATTTGCATTAATACGTTAAGGGATTGTTCGGGTGCAAATGTGGTGCCATTTTGATCATATAACTGAGTAAATAAAATAAAAAAATATTTCATTTTTTTATTAAAAAAACATTTGGCGCCCAACTTACCTCATACAAATTCATGCGAACTTCCGAATACATAATATTATCATCATACATTTCCTGTAACATTTGTCGGTAATATGAACGGACAGCGGGTATATATACCAAAACATCAGACATGGTCGAGAACATGTTTTGGAATTTGGTCCAAACTTGGTTTATGGTCGAATAGTCCACTGAAATGCAGAAAAAACATATATTAGAAAATTAAGCGGAAAGGTTGCATAGAAAAGAAATCCCACCTTCCGGCTGAGGAGTATACAAGTTAATAAGGGCCTCCATAGCACGATCATATTCCTCAGGACCAGCAGAAAATTGCTGCCTTTCCTTATTTACTTCAACATATTCAGTGACACAATTGTGTTTATCGGGCATATGACGAAAACTCAAAACACTAACACCGTCGGCTCGAACACATCTCAAGAGACCGGGCATATAGAAGAGATTTTTTACCACCCACTTAGAGGACACACTGGCCGAAGTATGGACATGTAGCAATGCTCCCTTGGGCATTTGTTGAAGAAATTGAAAAACCGGACTGGCTTCAATCAATGGCTTCGCCTTAAAGAAATGCATGGCGCCGGCATTTTGTTCGGCATTGTTGAAACCATTTGACAATTCTTCGGATTTAAGGCGGAGAAAGATGTCATTGACTTGTTGTTCACGACTATTGAGGAGTAAATGGCCACCGGTAGTTAGAAGTTGTTCACCCACAATGATGGCATCACGTTTTGCTTCATAAGCTGGAAAAAAAATAAAATTCGAAGAAAATGAAAAAATAAAATCGTAAAAATTGGGATCATATTTAGAGAAGAGAATTTAAGGATTATGATGGTAAATAATATCCTTATTAAATCTATCACTTACGTTCATTAAAAATCCCCTTTATATCCGGTAGAAAGGCTGCATCGGAACATATTGCCAAAAACAATATAATTAAATTTATTATTAACAAGTTTCGAAACATTTTCCTGCTTCTCAGGTCCAGAACTAACTACTTTCTATTGCAAAATTTTCAACTTATATACCGATTGCCAAATATTTCTCTGCTTCCCAAAATAAAACAATTCAGAGAAAAACTTTAAATAATATCAAAGTTCAAACATAAATAGATTTGTTGTTATTTTTCGTTTAAATATATATCTAGTGTTGACATAATAATATTATTATTAATTAAACAATAAAACAAATAAAACATTTTTTATGTAAATAAAATATGTTGTTATTTTGTTTTTTATTTATTTATCTAAAACAAATAAAGTTTGGTAGCGTCAAAGAAAATATTTTGGACATTTTTCACACATTTTGTTAGATTTGCATAAACACGTCATTTTTGACGTATGATGTCAATGGATGAAATATTCTACAGGTGATTTCACTATGAGTCTTCGAACAAAAGAAATCTGTAAATATGACATATGTCATGGAAATTTTTATGCAAATTTGGGTATGTAAACAATCATTGAGGAATTTGGTTGTTTTTCAGATACTGGACCAAATCTCACACTAGAAGTGATTTTCGGGGTTCGATGTCAATGAGTAAATAATTCTACACGTTATTTCACTATGAGTCTCCAAACAAAAGAACTCTGTAAGTTTGACATATGTCATTGAAATCTTAATGCAAATTTGGTTATGTAAATAGTCTTTAATAAATTTGGTCGTTTTTCAGAAATTGGTCAAAATCTGACACTAGAAGTAAATCTGGAGGTTTGGTTTCAATGGAGAAACTATTCTACAGCGAATTTCACTATGAGTCTCCGAACAAAAAAACTCTGCAAGACTGACATAAGTCCTTGAAATTTTAATACTAAATTGGGTATCGTTAAGGAATTTGGTCGTTTTTCACAATTTGCTTAAATCTGACATTAGAAGTGATTTTAGAGGTTCGATGTCAATGGATAAATTATTCTACACGTAATTTCACTATGAGTCTTCGAACAAAAGAAATCTGTAAGTTTGACATATGTCATTGAAATCTTGCTGCAAATTTGGGTATGTAAACAATCATTAAGGAATTTGGTCGTTTTTCAGAAATTGGACAAAATCTGACACTATATGTGATTTTCGGGGTTCGATGTCAATGAGTAAATTATTCTACAGGTAATTTCACTATGAGTCTCCGAACAAAAGAAATCAGTAAATTTGACATATGTCATTGAAATCTTGAAGCAAATTTTGGGTATGTAAATAATCATTAATAAATTTGGTCGTTTTTCACAATTTGCTCAAATCTGACACTAGTAGTAATTTTAGAGGTTTGATGCCAATGATTAAATTATTCTACACGTAATTTCACTATGAGTCTTTGAACAAAAGAACTCTGTAAGGTTGACATATGTCACTGAAATCTTAATGCAAATTTGGGTATGTAAACAATAATTGAGGAATTTGGTCGTTTTTCAGATACTGGACCAAACCTCACACTAGAAGTGATTTTCGGGGTTCGATGTCAATGTGTAAATTATTCTACAGGTAATTTCACTATGAGTCTTCAAACAAAGGAACTCTGTAAGTTTGACATATGTCACTGAAATCTTGATGCAAATTTGGGTATGTAAACAATCATTGAGAAATTTGGTCGTTTTTCAGAAATTTGACAATATCTGACACTAGAAGTGATTTTCGGGGTTCGATGTCAATGGGTAAATTATTCTACACATAATTTCACTATGAGTCTTCGAACAAAAGAACTCTGTAAGTTTGACATATGTCATTGAAATTTTCAATCTACATTGGGTATGTAAACAATCATTAAGGAATTTGGTCGTTTTTTTAAATTTTGTCAAAATCTGACACTAGAAGTGATTTTCGGGTTTCGTTGTCAATGGATAAATTATTCTACAGGTAATTTTATAATTAATTCCGGAAAAAACGCGAGATTTTAATTTGAAATATGCAATTTAAGGCTTAATATAAATTTGCCCACAATTAACCGGGAGAAAATGTGGGTATTTTTATTTTCGTATCCCCAAATCTCCCTTAAATGTCAAAGAAGAAAATATTTTTATTTACAGAATTAGATCTAATACCTATCAATAAAATCTCAGTTTGGATATACGTAAAAAAGGCAAACATTGTTTCGATTATGATAGAAAAAAACCTGATAAGGAAATGAGCTGTGAAAACATTGTGCTTATCGATAGAGTCAAGATATGTATGGACGACACTTTCGAACTTTTTTTTAAATAAAATATACACATACAGGCAAGCTATAACCTTTATCTTATCGAAGTTCAATTGCAAAAAAAAATGAAACAAAATTTAGCCGAATGGCCAAAACCCACAATAGAAGTGACTGTTTGTTTAGTGAAAAGAAATTACGCATAGTGAAAAGAATAGAAAATTGGAAAATAAATATTGTGAAAAACATTGGAATAAATTAAAAAATCGAAATAAATATTCGAAATTTTTTTTAAATAAAAATAATGACCACCAGCAATATGGAACATTTTTTCACAAAAATCCTTTTGGATTTTGTTAATGAACATGAAATAATCGGCTATGATATAATATCGGAATTAAATCGTTTCGATCAATATATAAAGGGTAGACGAACTAACCCAGCGGTAGCACCAGCAGCAGCACCGGAACACATTATCACTGAACCGGATATAAATATACAATATTTAGAAGAATCGAAAATTGATGAAGTTATAATGGATTATGCCGATTATTCGTGGAACAGTTATGAACAACTCGTATATACGTGTAAATTGTGTTTACACAAGACACAATATCAACAGCAACAACAACAACAGCAGTTTACACATCTCAATGAATTTCTATGTCATTTGCGCGACTGTCATGTTGGTAAAATTATCGAGGAACAAAAACAATACTACTTCGATCGGGATTGTGAAAAATTGTGGGTTGCCGAATTGGAAAGAATTAAAAAATACAAATATCAGCATCATAGCGAGGAATTTATGAAAGAAATCGATGAGGTAGGTTAAAGTGATGCACACACACTCACAAATTATTATTAAAATCAATAAAAAATATTTAACTAAAATTTGACACGTGTTAAACCAAATTCTCCAACGTAAAACCTATAAAAATTGTATACATACATCATTTGTCTCATTAATGAAATAGCAGAAAACTTAAGGCAATCGAGTAAACAAAAAATTGATAAGAATTATATTTGTTTGAAATATTTTTATAAATGAAAAGGAGGCGGGCGGCAAGGTTTTTCATGTGGTAACAAAAAAAAATAAAAACAAATCCTACTTCACATAATAAACTGTATGTATGGAAAATTTATTTTCATTACAAATAAAATGTAAATTAATTACTTGTAATGAAATCATAACCTCAAAAATAATTCAAAAAGTATTCAATTTAATATTATTTCGCAAAAATGCAATGTTTACATGGCAAATGCCATTTAAATAGTCGTAATTGCAAAACGAAATATGTGTAACAACGCCCTCGAAAAAATACTCTTTGTATGCAATGCAGTGTAATGCACAGAGAATGACTAACACAAATATTTGCAGATGGAATATTACCTTTTTCAAGATTTTTATAACAAAAATATGATATGTTTCACTGAAATTAAAGAAATTATTGTGTATTTTTAAAAATCCAAGCCAGATTTGGACATAATTGTGAAAAAACGACCAAACTTATTAAAGATTATTTACATACCCAAATTTGAATTTTGATTTCAATGACACATGTCAAACTTACTGATTTTTTTGTTCGGAGACTCATAGTGGAATTACATGTAGAATAATTTACTCATTGACACCAAACCTCTTAAATTACTTCTAGTGTCAGATTTGAGCAAATTGTGAAAAACGACCAAATTCCTCAATAATTGTTTACATACCCAATTTAGATTTAAAATTTCAATGACATATGTCAAACTTATAAATTTCTTTTGTTTGGAGACTCATGAAATTACCCGTAGAATAGTTTTCCCATTGACACCAGATCCCTAAAATCATTTCTATTGTCAAATTTGGGCAAATTCTGAAAAACGACCAAAATTCATTGATGCCTATTTACATATCCAATTTTGCATTAATATTTCAATGGTATATGTCATACTTAGGGGAGAGGGGGGCACCTTTGAACACTTTTTGCTTTCAAGCCTTATAAAATTTTGTATTTTATAATTTTTGGTTTCTTATAAATTGTAACTAATAGGTACATATGTAACCTTTAAAATGGATATACATATTCCATACTATAAGTCTTGATTTATATTAGGCGAGTTTACTTGCGGCAATTTTTATCGTTATCTTTTGAACTTGCTCCATGCGTCTATACAAGGCAATTCGGTTTCCAAAATATTTTTTTATTTGTTGTTTTTTCACATTTAAATATATATAAAATTTCAACAAATACGAAAAACACAAAACGAATTGCCAGAAAATTGTCGGTACGAGCAATTTTTTTTCATTTCTATACCCCTTGCCCCTCTCTCCTACAAACAAAGACTTGCCGCAAGTAAACTCGCCTAATCTAAATCAAGACTAAGCTTGATAAATATATTTTATAACTGTTTTAATGGACGAACTCAAAGTGTTCAAAACTGCCCCCCCAGGGGGGCAGCTTTGAACAGGGGTTGGCATTTTTGAACGACATGGTTTTTTACAGTGTTTATGTTCAAATATGTATGTATTTTATCCATACATATCAGAAATGCATTAATTCATTAAAAAATATATAAAAAATGTTCAAAATTTAAAAAATTTAGATCAAAAGTTATTAAAACATAAAATGACTTAAAAACAAAAATTAATATGGTGAAAAATACAGCTAATTTCGTAATCTTATTAGCCCATTTGAAATGTTGAGAAATCGAAGCCAAAAGTTAAAAACTCATTTTTTTACTCGAGTTTAATGGGCATGTTCAAAGGTGCCCCACCCATGGCTTTTTACGGAAATTTAAAATAACTTTTTTTGTAATAAATACATATGAAAGAAATTACATTAGTTATGTTTGAAATGATTGTTGGAATGCAAAAAATTTGTTTGACGAAAGAAAACTATCACAGAATTCTTCCTTCGCCCTTACAACCAAATGAATAAAAGTTTACAATGACACTGAGAAAACATGGTCACCCATGCACAATTTTTCGACAACTGAAAAGGCAAGCCATAGTGGTTTACGCATATAGAGAACAAGATTGCCATATACAAAAATGTGGTTGCGGGTCGGAAAACTATTAAACCAAGATTTTATGAGCGCTGTTCAAAGGTGCCCCACGTTCAAGGGTGCCCCCCTCTCCCCTACACATTTCTTTTGTTTGGAGACTCATAGTGAAATTAATTGCAGAATATTTTATCCATTGGCATCGAAACTCTAAAATTACTACAAGTAACAGATTTTGTCGAAAATTGTAAAAAACGTCTATATTTATTTGTCTATTTTTGTTTGCATGTGTAATTACGCCCTAACAACATATGTGCAACTATGGTCTAACAAAAACTACTCACAATGTTATGCACAGAGAATGACTAGCACAAACATTTAAAGGACTGATATTTCTTTTCAAGATTTTTAAAATAAAAATGGAATATTAAAAAAAAAATATATATATATATATATTATAAATATATATTGTATTTATTAAAATCCAAGCCCAAGATAACACCACAGAAAAATTTTACATATATTTAAAAAGACGTATTGCAATGGCCTACAAAACAAACTGGAAAACTTCCATCATCTCAAAATTAAATTTTAATACTCGTTGAATCAACCATACATATATTTAAAAAGACGTATTGCAATGGCCTACAAAACAAACTGGAAAACTCCCATCATCTCGAAATTAAATTTTAATACTTGTCGAATCGACCATAACCTCTAAAATTAAATTTAAATTATTAAAAAATACGCTGAGAATTTCCGATAAAATATGACAAGTCATCAAAAATCGAAAGCAAATAATTCCAAAAGTCTCTAAAAATTATCTCAAAAATTCAAGTGATTTTGTAAACGAATCGCCCCTTGGGGCATTTGATTACTTTGTCTATTCTAAAAATAGTATAATCTCTAAGAATTTGTTCAGTTATCAACATTATTATGTACTTCAGTGTATCTGAAATATTATTATTTTTTTTTAATAACTCGAACGACCTTCCAAAGGCCGTTGATAAACAAAAAATACCAACCATAAAGTATTGGAAGCTATCAGCATATAAAAATAATGTATACAATTGTTTGTCCTCTACTGTAGCTATAATAGTACTAATTGCCTTCCAAAGGTTATTTGCATAATTTAATAAAAAAATACAATAAACCATAATTCAGTATCACTTTGATTATCAGTATTTGATTAATTGGCGTAAATGTGGATGTTAGGATTTACAAAAGAGCAATAAAAATAAAGGTTTATTTTAAATCATTATATTTTTTTTAGTAATAATTTTTGTAATGTGTATGTGATTGTTGGATTTACAATTAAACAAAAAAAAAATAGTTTTAAAAAATAGAAGTAAATCTACGCTTCTTCTTCTTCTACAATATACACTGCAATGTACTGCAAATGATTATGCAGCTGTTTCATTTTGCTAGCAACTGTTACTTTGCCAGTAGAAGAGAGTAGTGATAAAAGAGTGTATGTTTATACACAACCAATGTTAAAAATATTAAATGGGATCCCTTTCTTTTTTTCTATTAAATTATGAGAGAGACATTATTTGTGTTTTTTATTAAATCGTTTAATTTTGAAAAAAAAAAAATAAAACTAATATGTTGCCGTTCATGCTTCTTCTTCTATACAACATTACATTGTAATGCACTGCGAATGATGACCCAGCTGTTATTTTGGCGGAGACAGAGTGATACTAGAAGAGAATACGTTTACGTACAAAAGTACGGTTATTCTTCCTCTTCTTTAACACATTGTGGATCACTTTGCATGATTAACATAGAGAATTTTTGAATATACAACATTATAGTGTAATTTACTGCAAATTAAGATGTGGTTGTTTCATATTGAAAACAACTGTTAATTTGGCTGGAAGAGAGAGAGAGAGAGTGTGTGAGAGAGTGCTGCTAAAAGGGAGTACGTTTACGCACAATAAAGGCATTTTTATTCTTCCTCTTTTGCTATTCACATTGCATGATTAGCATACATATTTGTGAAGGAGGCTGTTACTATACAATTAAATATATTTAATATACAATACAATTAAATACAATTAAAAGAAGTGTAATAAAAAATAATATATTAACAGATTATATATATAAAAAATCGCTAGTCATTATGATTTTGCAAATGCACGCAGAATAATAATAAATAAATATATTATTATGTGCACTTGTCAAACAAATAAAAATTCGCTAGTCATTCTGATGTTGCAAAAGCACTCAGAAAAAATTTTCACGTAGCCAGTATAAATTAAACTGCACGAAAGGCCTAGAGATTAATGCAAAATCAATAATTATCGCTATCAATAAAATGTGAATTTTAGAATGACATTAAAAATTCTTTTTATTGAGCACTTTAAAAAAATTGAATTGTCATGATGATATAGCTGTGTTTTTGTTCAAAAATTGTGATAATCTATAGTGCAATAATTCAATAAAAATCTATGATAATCAATTTTGACAACGTTTTTTTATTGAGATTATAAAGAGTTCCAGATCTACTTATTTGTTGAATTTCTTTTCGATTTTTGTTTACGGGAGCTAAACAATATTTGTTGTAGAAAATAATACAAAAATATTGATTCAATTGTCAAATGAGGTTATGCATCGATCATAGGGCGTATTTACACAAGAACTGTTTCGTGATAAAACGTCATTTAATGAATATTTATGTTGGCATTACCTCTGAACATAGGTCTACATAAATAAATGTAGCCATAATCTCATTTATTATTATATTTTAAAATATATTGTTAATTTGTCTTTATTTTTATTCCCAATTGATTGGTATTATATTAACATTTTAATTTATTTTCAGATTTTGGGAAATGATGAAATGGAAATGTCTACCAGCATCGATTCTTTGGAGGCTGATGATAGTCAAAATTCGCATAACAGTTCACCAATAATGGTAGACTACTTAACACCGCCAACATCCAGTGGATCACAGTCACCAACAAATTCCCAACTATCGGAACAGTCAGATATTTCACAACCCACAACAAGTTCAACAGATACAATGATGACAACGGCAGCAACCAGTGATGTCAACGCACCATATACCGACAACAACAAACCTGTCAAAAAGAAAAAGAAACGTACCTCGGGCCAGTGTGATGTCTGCAATCGCACCTTCAATGACCTCTACAACTTAAGGATACACAAAATGATACATAGCGGAGAAAAACCCTTTCAATGTGATGAGTGTGGTAAACGTTTTCGTCAATATAATAAACTGAAAATACACTGCATCACCCATACCGATTTGAAACCATATGTTTGTGACATTTGCAATAAAGGATTTCGTTTTCGCAATTATTTATCAGTGCACAAACGTTTGCACTCGGGAGAGAATCCTTATAAGTGTAAATTTTGTGAGGAATATTTTCATTCACTGCATTCGCGACGTTTACACACAAAGATGATGCATTCGGAAGCGAAAACATTCACCTGTCCCGTATGCAGTAAAATTCTAACTGCCCAGTGTTATTTGAATGATCACCTAAAACGTCATACCAATCAGCGGGATTATAAATGTGATATATGTGATAAATGTTTCTTTAGCCAATCACAGCTGAAGGATCATCAACTGGTCCATACAAATGTCAAACCCTACGAATGTGATGTGTGTATGGCTCGATTTCAACGGAAATCCAATTATACACAACATTTGAAAATACATACAGGGGAGAAGACGTACGTTTGTCACATATGTTTTAAGTCGTTTGCCCAGAATGCGGGACTGTATGGTCATATGAAATCGCATGCAAAAGGTAATTGAAAAGCAAAAACACACACAAAATAGAGCACAAGAAGAGGAAGACTTGTTTATTGTTTAAAGTATATATATTAAGATAATTTATATAATAAATGTAGAATAATTGGAAATTAATTCAAAAATATTAATAAATTAAGCTTTTAATTTAAAAATAAAACCTTTAGTTAGTAAAATTACACAAAAGTTATAATAATTTCAATAAAAAATAAATAAATTAAACCGGTTAACTGTGTTTCTTCTGCTTACACATGGTAGTGCAATGCAATAATAATGATTAACACACATATCTGTTACTTTGGAAGTGTGTGATGAGAGCATAAGGATAAAAGGCGGAGATTGGGCTATATATAAAATTGAAAAATAAAAAAAAAAAACATATATTAATAATATCAAACAAACTAAATTAATAATTTTATGTGATAAATGACTAAAATAATAAAAATATATAATAAAAGAAAACATATTGCGCACTCTTCTTCTTGTTCATTACGAATGTCTATGTACAGTAAATGATTAACATCTACTGATAAACTATTACTTTTGAAGCGTGTGACATGCAAAAAAAGAGAGTCAAATGATATTTACAATAAAAATGTGTATACATATTAATAAACTAAGTAAATATATGATAAAAATTTAATAAAATAAAATTAAGAGATAAAGAAAATATATAATAATTGTGTATTCTTGTTCTAGTTTACCCTGCCATTGTAATACAATAATGATGATTAACCCGTATTGATGAGTTATGAAGAGTGTGAGATAATATTTTAACTAAAAGAAATAAATTAAATATTTGAAATTATAAAACAAACTAAGTAACTGTATAACTAAACGTATTAAATTAATAAAAACATTATAAAGAATTAAAAAAGTCGTTAATTGTGTATTCTTCTTCTTCCAGTTAAAGCTAGTATTGTAATCCAATACTAATGATTAACACACACATTGCCCAGCTGTTACATGGAAACTGAGCGGGAGAACCGGCGATACGAAGATGAAGAGAGATTGCAAACACTAAAGTGTGTCAAATTAAAAAAAAAAATAAATGAAACAAAATATATAATTAAATAAACTAATAAAATTAAAAGAAAATAATAATTTGTTCAAAGAGCCATCAACTGTATCGTGTATTCTTCTTATAGTTTTCTCTAGCATTGTAATGCATTAATAATGATTAACACATATTAATGAGCTGTTACTTTGGAAATGTGACAGAAAACCGATTTGTATTCAAAATAAAAACATTTTGTTTGTAAAATTATTTAAAAAAATTTTATGAAATACACAGTTTAACGTAATAAGTTAAAAACAAATTAAAAGATGTAGAAAAAAATATTAATTGCGCATTCTTCTTCTACTACTATTGTAATGCAATAATGATGATTAACACACATAGATGAGCTGTTACTTTGAAAGTGTGTGAGAGATGAAGTTACGAAGAAGGAGAGAGAGTAGCTTTGTATTTAAACTAAAGGCAAACAATTTAGTATTTAAAATTAAAAAAAAACTAATAATATTGTAATTACTATAAACTAAAAATCTTAAAAGAAACCCATAAAGATTTATTATGCATCCTTCTTCTAGTTGACGCTACTACTGTCATGCAATAATAATGATTAACACACATAGATGAGCTGTTACTTATGTTGTGTGTGAGAGATGACGTTACGAAAAAGGAGAGAAAACAATTTTGTATTTAAACTAAAGACAATCACTTTAGTATTTTAAAAAACTAAATAAATAATTATATACTTTAAACTAACTATATTAAAAAAACATAAAGACTAATTGTGCATTCTTCTAGTTGACACTACTATTGTAATGCAATAATAATGATTAACACACATTGATGTACTGTTACATTAAAAGTGTGTGAGAGATGACGCTACGAAGAAGGAGAAAGTGAAAAACTAAAGGCAAACAATTTAATATTTAAAATTAAAAAAGTCATAATATTATAAATATTATAAACTAATAATATTAAAAGAAACCCATAAGTACTTATTATGCATTCTTCATCTAGCAGACACTACTACTGTCATACAATAATAATGATTAACCCACAATGATGTGCGTTTACTTTTGGAAGTGTGATAGAGGACATTTAAAAAAACAGGCAATAGCTTCAAATTATGGGTCCTAACCCAAGTATATTTGACATGATAAGCCCGGCGCCGGTCCCTGTGGAACGTGTTAATGGGCCTTTTTCAAATAGTTTATTGTTTTGGAATTTTTAAAATTAATTTTTTTCTAGCTTTCAACCACAATCTAATTTTAAAAATAACAGTTTCAAGCTAACTGTGGCATTAAATTATTTTAGAAATATATGAACTTCCACATCAATCTAATAATAATACAACTTTACCAATATATTTTTTTATTATTTCTAATATTTCTAATATTAAATATATTTATTTTTTTTTCTCTAGGCAAAAGGCAAATCTTTTTTTGTAATTAAAAAAAATATAGGAAAAATAAACTACATTTCATTTTATAAATAAAAACCTATTCTTATACATAACTCTTATATTTGTGTGCAGGTATTAAAAATATATATGTATTTGTTCAAAACTAGTATTTTAATATAATAATAAAGTAGTAATAGTATTTAAAAAAGAAGAACACACATATTTTAAAACAAACGTAATATATTTAATTAAATATACAATAATAATAAAAAATTTCCCAAGTGTTTTTTTGTAATTAAAATTAAATTTTAGAAACTTCTATGGATTTCAATTATGTCTCTACCTCTCACTATTCATTACTATCTATGGTTATTTCATATACTAATTCATCGTCATCGTTAACATCTTCGGCATTTATCAGTTCGACTTTGTGATGCTGTTGGTTGATTAGAAATTGTCCACTTTGATGACGATGTTGCTGCTGCTGATGGTGGTGAGGTATAAAATGTTTAATGTCTTCTTCGTTGATTATTTGTCCTGTCGACATAACCATACCATCCTCCTCCTCTTCGTCATCCACAAATTCATTTATATACTGTTCATTGGCATCGATTAGATCGACATTTTCATGTTGCACCAAAGTTTCTGTTTTAGGTGGCAATTGTTCTTCCTCCTGTTGCTGTTGCATTTCCTGCTGTTCATTCTGTTCCCGCAGCAGGGCCTCTTCTTCCATTTTACGCCTGGTATTATTTCGGCACTGTATGGAACGTTTATGGGCATCGAAGTAATTAATATCGGTAAATTCCTCGTTACATATCTGACACTCAAAATGGGTCTGGTGTAAATGCATCATCTTGCGGTGCCTGGCCATTTTGTGGGCATCACGACATTGCATACCACAGAAGGGGCAGACAATCATCCGTCGTTTGCCCATGTGCACGGCCCTAACATGTTCCTGCAGGCTGAAATTTTTATAATACGATTTGGGACAATGTTCACATTGAAATCGCCGCTTCTTCTCATGGGTGGCCTCACGATGCCTCTTCAGCTGGGTATTCTGGGCAAACGTCTTGCCACAAACCTCACAAATGTGATCCTTTTCTTGGTGGCGCCGTTGATTGTGTACCCTCAGATCTTGCTTGGTCGAGAAATACAATTTACAAATTTCACAAACATATGGTCGTATGCCCATATGGCGTCTGGCATGGCCCGCCAAATATTTACAGTCCTTGTAGGTTTCATCACAGTATACGCATTGATAACGATTAGTGCCCGGTACCAAATGGGTTTTCAAATGTTTGGCAATTTTCCCCCTTGACATTATTTCCGGACAAATGCCACATTCCATGGGTAGTTTTTCGTCAGTCTCGGCGTTGGATATGGAAAATTCCACAATGGGGGTGCCATCGGGATCATAGTCGACAATGCAGGCCACCAGTTCATCAAATAGCATATAACGTCTGTGGACTGTGTTTTGTGAGGTAACCTTTTCTTTATCGTCTCCCTCTGTATTAACCTCTTCTTTGGATTCTTTTATTTCCCCAGTGGCTTTTTCAAGTTTTTCAGGTACAAGTGTCTCAATTTGTGCTGTTGTTGTTGTGTCATGATGAGGCTCCAAATCATCATCCACGGCCTCCTCCACATGTTCTTCATATTCGAATTCATCATCATCAACACCATAACCCCCGTGAATATTTCCTGTCACTGTTTGGTGGTCCCCTTCCAAGTGTTCTGTCTTCATTAGCAGTACACTTTCTTGATGATTATCAGCTTCCATTATTTCCGGTTTTATAATAATGGCATTGTGGCCAATCTGTTGCTCCACATCCTCTTCATCCTCAAGGGCTTCCACAATTTCATAGTCGTCATGCATGTAGATTCCACCACCATATTCCTCGCCAACGACGTGGTGTTCGTCATGTTGACTGCCGTCATCGATTTCTATGCAATCATCTCGGCTAAATTCATATTCAATAAAATTATCCATATCTTCATGAGCAGCAGTGTCACACATGCTACTCCTCTCGTGGCAATTTCGATTAGAAATTAAATAATTTTTTGTTCTTTGGAGGATTTCTGCGCGTTTTGTAAAGCTGATGTCGTTTCGAAATGAACTAGCGCACAAGGAAAGAAGAGATTCATTGAAATGAGCCTATCGATCTATTTGCAGTTAGTTCATTTTGGTTCATTAAAGTGAATAAGATAAATGAAGCTTTTGTAGTGTTTAGAATGAGAAGAGATTCATTGAAATGTACCAACACAGAGAGAGAGAGAGAGAGCTATTTACATTTAGTTCATTTGGCTCATTTAAGTGAATAAGACAAATGAATCTATATTATATTGTTTAGAAGATGAATTTAGTGATATTTTTAAATAAATATTAATGCAATATTACTGTTAAATAAAAAATTATTGCTATTATTACAATAAAGTAATTAAACCACTAAACATACATATTTAATAAAGTATCTTTGCCCTTCAAATATCCATGTTATCCTGCTAAGAATATAATTACCCAAAAAATTCAATATTTCCAAATGTTTCTATTTTTTCATTAAATCTTTAACTAATAAGTAAGTAATAAATAAGACATTGCGGGTATTTTGAAAAATTTTATTCTATTTAAAAAGTTTTATATATATAGGAAGTACATATTTATTTATTATTTTTATGATTCGATTTTGGCTTTCGTATTATTCATTATTCTACAGTTTTTATTTGATTTTCCCACATCTATGCATTGTCCATTGCCTCAATTTCATATAGTAATTGCTGTTCGGCTTTTACTTTTTCATGTTCATCAACTCCCAGCCCGGTAGCAGTCAAAGGCTGTAAATCAGCAGAAGCAACACCGCCGCCACCACCACCACCATCGGAGGTGACAATTTCATTATGCATATCATGGGTCATTTCTTCGACTACAACTTCTTGTTGTTCCAATTGTTCCTGTTTAAAGTGGGTAATTTGATGGTGTTGCAACTGCTGATCATGATGATCCTGATACAAAGCTGATTGGCTTTCCTCATATTCATAATGATCGCCGCCGGTTACAACCTCATGTAATTGTTGCTGCTGCTGTTGTTGCTGAAGAAGCTGCTGCTCCTGTTGTTGCAACAATTCCGCCTGCTGTTGTTCATCCGTCTTGTCTTGGAACAATTGGCGCCCTAATTTCTTGCGACACTGCAATGATCTTCGATGGGCATCAAAGAAATCGATATGATTGAATTCCAGACCACAAACACGACATTCGAATTTACTTTGGTTCAGATGCATCTCCTTGCGATGTTGGGCCAATTTATGGGTATCCTTAAAACGCATATCACAGAATGGACAATCCAACAGCCGCCTATCCCCGTAATGAACATTTCGTACATGTTCATTCATGGAGAATTTTCGCAGGAACTTCTTGCCGCAGTGTTCACATTCGTAGTTACGCTGCTGTTCGTGCACCAGCCGACGATGGTGCCGCAGCGAAGTGTTCTGGGCAAATGTCTTGCCGCAATGTTCGCAGATGTGCTCTTTGGCCAAGTGGCGCCGCTGCTCGTGCACCTTCAGGTCTTGTTTGGTACAGTAGTACATTTTGCATGGGGCACAGACATATGGCCGTATGCCCATATGCCGCCTCGAGTGACCAGCCGCATATGCCCTCGTCACAAAATCATCATCACAGTAAATGCATTTATAGCGTTTCGTTCCAGGCTTCAGATGGGTCTTCAAATGGGCATCCAACTTCGATTTATGCATTATATCCGGACAGACACCACATTCGACAGGCAATTTATCAGCCTCCTTGTCATCGGACACCACCGAAAACTCAACAATTGGTGCACCATCCTCCTCATCATAGTCCACAATTTCTGCACAAATACCATCGAATAGCAGGAATTTCCTTGGCACCTTCGGGACATTCAAACGTTTTCGTTTCTTTTCCAGTTCCGACCATTGTAAATATTGCTGGGCTGGTGTCTTGTTATCTACCTCCACCACTTCTTCATGTTGATACACATCCAACTGAACACCACCGTCCAATTCGTGATCATGTTCATCCATATCATCTTCATGGACCTCTTCGACAAACATCATTTGTCCGTCTTCACCAATCATAATGTTATCACCATTTTCTTCGACAATTTCGTGGCCATCTGCATCGCCCAGTACAATGATTTGTGATGAATCATCGTCCAATTCTTCGCCTTCGGCCAGTACCACATAACCGGCATTATCGATGGTGATATATTCATCTTCAACTATGGATTCAGTCTCATCACTCATTGCTGTTTTAGTTTTGTTGATGTTTTTGATAGGGTTTTTTTTCAAAAAATCACCGATGTTTTTTCGGTAGCTGTAGGAAAAATTTACCAACGCTGCCGGGTGATTCAATCGTGGTATTCCCAGAGGGGAACGATCGGTACTAGGTGCAGCACTTTTGTTTATTTAGTTTCTTTTGATTTATGAATCGTTCATTTAGATTTTCATTTGGTTTTTAATTAAAACTTTATTTTTTTTAATTTTTAAATTTACTGTCTTTTTGAAAAAAATAATATTTAGTTTCATTTATTTATATTTTTGTGTTTTAACCTAAATTGGCTTAAAGATGCCGTTTCGGCCAGACTCTCAATTGTAACGACGACGTAGTTTCATTTGGGCGGCTTGATAATATATTCATACTATTCTGCAAATATTAAATTAATTTAATTATTTAAAAACTATTTATAATATATTTGTATATAACATAATACATATTTTATTTATTATTTTTAAATTATATCCTGTATTTCATCTCTTTTCAAATGCTACACAGCTGTTGCATACAGTCTACTGAAGAGTTCACTAAAATGAACTAATGAACCAGTTACTTAATCATCATTGCTTTGGTTGGCAACCATTATGTTTATTGGCGCATGGCAAAACAGCTGATGTGTGTAATGTACACAATTCACAATTAGTGGATGTACGTAACGTAATGTAAACCTTAAGGAATGAATTGTTAAATAATAATTAAAATAATTTAATAAAAATTGAAATATAAAATAAATAAAATTGTAAATGGTATATAAAAAAAAATAAAATAAAAAGAAATATGGCAAACTGGGACCATTTTTTTTCTAAAAAAGTAAGCCTTGAAAGTGTAATTGTTTTAAGTTAGATTTACCACGTAATTATATTTTTATTAAAAAAAACTTGATTTTTTTAAAATAAAACAATAACAAAAACAATCTATGAAGGCATGACAGCTCCTCTCTTGCACATTGTTTTATTAAATACTAACATTTTTTTATTAAAAACAAACAATTGCCCAAGTCCGCAATCAAAAAAATAGATGTTTGTATGAAATGTCCGGCATATGGCCTACATGCATTCGATTATTTAACTTTGTACTTAGAAGTGCGTCTTCTTTGCAATCTCATTTACAATTGTTGTTGTTGTTATTGTTTGATTGTTTAATTAGTAAACTTAGGTGGTGCTTTGTGGTTAATGGTTAACTTAGTGTGAAACAAAAACAATTTTTGACTGACATTCAAGGTGGTCGAAGATAAACATGGAGATTAACATAACAAATAATTATTACAACAATAATGAATGTAAATAAATATTTACGCCTAAATTGCAGTGGCTTTGAAGTGAAGTGGTAATTAGGTATTTTTGTTTCAGGTTAATTTGGTCGCTTTTTAAATTTATATTAATTTGTTGCACAAAACATAATTTTAGCGCGGTGAAGTCAATGAAAGAAATGTTCTGCATTAAATTTTACTATAAATCTACGAACAAACAAAATCTCTAGCTAAAATATTTATTACAAAAAAATCACAATACTTTTTGTACAAATAAAATTGTTTGGTAAATTTGGTCAAGATTTCGATTAGTGGTCAATATTGTCCACAAAACCCCATTTAAATGAGTTGATGTTAATGGCAAAAATATTCTTCACAAAATTTCACTATAGGTCACCGACCAAATGTATTTTATAGCTATAGCATATATCATGAAAAATCGATAAATATTATGGTATGTATAAATTTTTGGTCGTTTTTTGAACTTTATGCGACTTTTGGCCAAATTCTTCCGAAAAACCTCATTTTAGCGGCATGATGCCGATGAAAGAAATACTCTCCACAAAATTTCACTATGGGTCACCGAACATAATAAACTTATAACTATAGAATATATCACAAAAAAAATCAGAAAATTATATTGTTATAGAAAAATTTTGTAATTTTTGGGAGTTATTTCCATTATTGACCAATTTTGAGCAGAAAACCTCATTTTATCGGGTTGTTGTTAATGAAAGAAAAGTTCTCCACAAAATTTCACTATAGTTCACTGACCACACAAAATCTATATGTTCTGAAAATATAGCTATATATTTTGTTATAAAAAATATTTGATCTTTTATGGTACTTTTTCGATAAGTTATCGATTTGGTCCACAAAATGTCAGTTTAGGGGGACACAGTCAATGACGAAAATATTCGTCACAAAATTTCACTATGGGTCACCGACCACATGAAATCTCTAGCTATAACATATATCCTGAAAAAACGCTATATATTTTGTTGAACAAAGATATTGTTCTATTTTTGGACTTTTTTCGATAAATGACCAATTTTGTTTTCAAAACGTCATTTTAGCGTGGTGATGTCAATGACAGAAATGTTCTCCACAAAATTTCACTATAGGTCACCGACCACATAAAATCTCTAGCTATAACATCCTTATCCTGAAAAATCGCTATATATTTTGTTGTACAAAAATGTCGGTTAAATTTTGGTACATTTTCGATAAATGACCAATTTTGCCTTCAAAGCGTCATTTTAGCGTGGTGTTTCCAATGTCGAAAATATTCTCCATTAAATTCTACTATAGGTCACGGGCTATATGAAATTTCCAGCTTTTATATATATCCCAAAAAAATCACTATATATTTTGTTACGCAAAAATGTGGATCAATTTTTGGGCTTTTTCGATTATTGGTCAATTGTGTGTACAAAACTTCATTTTAGCGAAATGCTGTCAATGATGGAAATAATCTGTGGGTCACCGACAGATTACGTTATAGTCATACAAAATCTGTGACTAAAAAAAAATCGGTAAATATTAATGATATTAAAAAGATGCTTTGGTAATTTTTTGACTTTTTTCGATAAATTGTAAATTTTTTGTAGAAAACCTAATTTTAGTGGGAAGATACCAATAAAAGAAATATTCTTCATAAAATTTCACTAAGGGTCACTGAACATAACAAATCTGTAGCTCTTGTATATATCCTGAAAAAATTGCTATATATTTCGTTATATGAAAATTTTGGTAAATTTTCGACTTTTTTCGATGAATGAGCAATCGTGTGTAGAAAACTTAATTTTAGCGGCATACTTCCAATGAAAAAAATATTCTCCATTAAATTTCACTATGGGTCGTCAACCACTAAAAATCGGTGGCTATAATATATACATTTAAAAAATTGCTATATATTTTGTTATAAAAACAATTTGGTCAATTTTCTTCCTTTTTTCGATTATTGGTCAATTGTGTGTAGAAGACTTAATTTTAGCAAAATGCTATTAATGAAAATAATGTTCTCCATTAAATTCCACTATGAGTCTCGGACCAAAAGAAATTTGTAGCATTAATATTATGTATTGAAATGTGTACATACTTATTGGGGTATTTTTTGTTATCCAAAAATTTGTACATTTTTTGACTTTTTTCGGTTATTGGTCAATTGTGTGTACAAGACTTCATTTTAGCAAAATGCTATTAATGAAAAAAATATTTTCCATAAAATTTCACTATGGGTCACCGAACATAACAAATCTATAGCTATTGTATATATCCTGAAAAAAATTGCTATATATTTAGTTATACCAAAAAATGGCCAATTACCGTCACATTTTCCGATAAATGACCAATTTTGCGTACAAATCTTCATTTTAGCGGGATGCTGTTAATGACAAAACTATTCTACATAAAATTTCACTATAGGTAACCGACTACACAAAATATGTATCTCTAATATACAGACTGAAAAAATTGCTATATATTTTGTTACAAATTAATTGCGAAACTTTCTTTGGCTTTTTTCGATTATTGTTCAATTATGTGTACAAGACTTAATTTTAGCAAAATGCTATTAATGAAACAAATATTCTCCATTAAATTTCACTATGGGTCATGGACCACACGAAATCTGTACCTCTAATATATATCCAGAAAAAATGGCTATATATTTCGTTATATGAAAATTTTGGTAAATTTTCGACTTTTTTCGATAAATGGTCAATTTTGTGTAGAAAACATAATTTTAGCGGAATGCTTTCAATGAAAAAAATTTTCTCCATTAAATTTCACTATAGGTCTCGGACCAAAAGAAATTTGTAGCTATAATATTAAGTATTGAAATGTATACAAACTTGTTTGGGTATTTTTGTTACACAAAATATTGTTAATTTTTTTTGGCTTTTTTCGATTATTGGTCAATTGTGTGTACAAAACTTCATTTTAGCAAAATGCTATTAATGAAAAAAATATTCTCCATCGAATTTCACTATGGGTCTCGGACCAAAAGAAATTTGTAGCTATAATATTAAGTATTGAAATATATTGAAACTTTTTGGGTATTTTTTTGGGGGATTATTTTTATTTGAAATTATTTTCTTATAAGAATGCCCTAGTTTTTTTTTAATTATTTAATTAAAAAATCTAGTTGTATTATAGTTCCTAAAGATCTTAGTTATGCTGTATTTTAAAACAGGTGTTTAAAAAATTATGGCGTTATTGCTCTTAACGGTCAAATGCTATAACGAAAAAGAAGAAGGGAAAAAATTCGACCAAATAATGTTTTGGTTGGTTTTTGTGTTGTTGTTGTTTTTTTATTACACCGGTAAACTATTTTGCATATAACAATGTATGTGATATTTTGTTGTAGTATTTTAATGAGGGGGAGGGGGGGGGGTTCCCCCTCCCCCTTTTAATATCTATTATGTTCCCGGTTTAACTATTCAATCATTGCTTGACTGCCAAACACTTTACTTCTTCTTCGGCTGCTTTGTATCCCAACCTTTGTTTTTGTTGCTGTTGTTGTGTCGGCCGTTCTGTCAGTCACTCTGCCAGCCACTTACACGTCCATTCATTCATTCAAGTTTATGGCATACGTTTAGCTGTTAACCATGCTGTGATGATGATGATGATGGGGAAGGAAGATCTCTTTTGCCAATTTTTTTTTCACAACAACAACAAAAAAGCTTCCAGGTTTGCATTTGCTTGGTGTTGTTGTTG